TATTACTTAATTGTTACAGAGTTCCTTTTTGGGGTGCTTTAAAATTTTTGAAAATAGATAGTGGTGATGCTTGTACTACATTGGGGATATAATGCCACTGAATTGTACATTTGAAAATAGTTAAAGTGTCAAAATTTGTGACATATGTTTTACCACAATTAAGAATTAATAATGTAATGTTCTAAAAAGCATTGAATTGTATGCTTTAAATGGGTGAATTGTAAGGTATGTGAGTTATAACTCGGAAAAGCTGTTTAAAATGAAAGTAATTCACTGTCATTTCTGCATCATTCTGTTGTGCAAAGCAGTTTAAGTAGAGCCAGTGTTCAAGGTGAGAGGAATTCAATTGCAGTTGTGATGGAATAATGACAAAAAATTGTGGATATGGACACTCATACAGGAATAAATACTATCAAGGCTTGTCTACAGACCCATTCACTCTTGTTATTAAGTAGAATGAGTCTGGTTTATGAGAAAGTATTCTAAAAATACTGCACCTGCCACCATGTCCAAAGACATAGAGATTTTTTATTGACTGCTAATGAGGGTTTGGCTCAGCCCAATCTTAGCTCACAGCCTCTCCAGCCTCCTCATATGGTTACATCACAATTTTTGGCTGAACCAGCATTGAATGTTTAGATTTTCAGAATGCTCAGAAGACGTCAGATGCCTTATCTGTCATTGCACGTTTTCCCCTGGAGCCTTACTTCCCTGTAGATGTCTCTTTCTGCTCCTGTCTGCACCCTTGCTCTCGAGGCTTGCTGCCGAGCTGTCATCCTAAGACTCATCTTTGCTGTTTCTGGTGTTGTGTCACTCCTTTTATGGGCCCAGTGTTTTTCTCTTTTGGGTTTATTACCTTCTTTTTGTTTGCATATGTAACATCTTCTGGTGTTTCTAAGAAAGTTTGCCATGGAAGTTCACTTTTTGCTTCCTTGCAGGTATGGTACCATATTTTTTCCTACCTTCACTCTTTTTTTTTTTTTTTTTTTTTTTTTGACAGTCAGAGTTAGACAGTGAGAGAGAGAGAGAGACAGAGAGAAAGGTCTTCCTTTTTCCATTGGTTCACCCCCCAAGTGGCCACTACGACCAGCGCGTTGCGGCCGGCGTGCTGCACTGATCCAATGCCAGGAGCCAGGTGCCTCCTCCTGGTCCCCCATGTGGGTGCAGGGCCCATGGACCTGGGCCATCCTCCACTGCACTCCTGGGCCACATCAGAGAGCTGGACTGGAAGAGGAGCAACCGGGACAGAATCCAATGCCCCAACTAGGACTAGAACCCGGGGTGCCGGCACCGCAGGCAGAGGATTAGCCTAGTGAGCCGCGGTGCTGGCCTGCCTTCACTCTTGATTGATAATTTGACTAGATTGAAAATTCTTTCTCATAATTTGAAGACATTGAAAATTGGTTTATCTATTTTTATTTATTTGAAAGGCAGTGAGACAGAGATGAGGCAGATCTTCTGTATGCTCCTACACTCTACAGATATCTATAGCTGGGATCCCAGAACCCAATCTAGGTCTCCCACATGGGTGGCAGAAACCCAAGTCTTGAGTCATCACCTTCTGCCTCCCAGTGCACATTAGCAAGAAGCTGGGTCAGAAGAGGAGCAGGAACTTGAACCCAGGCACTGTGATATGGAATGGATGCAGCTCAAGCAGCTTTGTAACCAGTGTGACAGCCAAGAGGCATTTCTTTATTGTCTTTTGTCTTCTTACCTAAAAATCATTAATCCTGTTCCTCTAAGATCTATGTTTCTCTCTGAAATACCTTCTCTTTAATACTCTGAAATGTCTAATATTCTGAAATTTTACAATGAAATCCTCTGATGTAGATCTTTTAAAATAATGACTATATTAGATGTGGACCCCTTCAGTCTTGAGGATTATATCTGCCAGTTCCCAGAAACAATCTTGTATTATTCCTTCAATTTCTTCTCCTTCTTTTTTTTCTTTTTGCTCTATAGATTTTTTTTTTAAGATTTCTTAATTTGAAAAGCAGAGTTACAGAGAAGGAGGCAGAGAGAGAGAGAGAGAGAATCTCCCACCTGCTGGTTCACTCCCCAAATGGCCACAAAGGTCAGGGCTGAGTCAGGCCAAAGCCAGGACCCAGGAGCTTCTTCTGGGTCTCTCACATGGGTGCAGGGGTCCAAGCTCTTGGGGTGCATTAGTAGGGAGCTGGATGGGAAGTAGAACAGCCAGGACAGGAACTGGCATCCATGAAGGATGCCGGCATTGTAGGCAGTGGCTTTACCCACTATGCCACAACACCACCCCTCTATAGATTTTATAATCTTTCCTTTGTATCTACTTTCTGAGAAGGTTTTCCATTTTATCTTCCAGGCCTTTAATTTATGCTGTCCTAATTCTAATTTCAAAGAGCTCTTTCTTATCCTCTGACTGCAGTTTGTTTATAATGGCTGATGCTTGCTGTGTATAATCCTGGTCTTGTTTTACAGGTGCAATATCTGCTCATCTCTAGAGACAACGAAGATAACATGTTTTGATATGTAGTTTAGTTCCTTGCATAGTCTCTGTTTTCTCAGAGATACTTTTATTCTATTTACTTATTTGTACCCCTGTTTCTAATTTTGGAATCATTCCTCATTTGTGGGGTATCCCTTTGTTCTCCATTCATATTTTCCAAGTAAGGCTCTGCTAGGCAGCTCTGTGTGTGGTTTGAGTCTGACCCACTAGTGCTAGGGGTGAGGGTGGGGAATTCTCCCTTCTGGGAGTGTTCTGGGCTCAGGGATGAGCTCTCCTCCTCCTCCCCATTTCCCCCTTTTTATCCCCCCCCACACTCCCCCCCCCCCCCACTCTTCTGAGAACTCCCCTGGTTCTGCTATCAGGTGCTTTTTTTTTTTTTTTTTTTAACAGGCAGAGTGGACAGTGAGAGAGAGAGACAGAGAGAAAGGTCTTCCTTTGCCGTTGGTTCACCCTCCAATGGCCGCCGCGGCCGGCGCGCTGCGGCCGGCGCACCGCGCTGATCCGATGGCAGGAGCCAGGAGCCAGGTGCTTTTCCTGGTCTCCCATGGGGTGCAGGGCCCAAGCACCTGGGCCATCCTCCACTGCACTCCCTGGCCACAGCAGAGAGCTGGCCTGGAAGAGGGGCAACCGGGACAGAATCCGGCGCCCCAACCGGGACTAGAACCCGGTGTGCCGGTGCCGCTAGGCGGAGGATTAGCTTAGTGAGCCGCGGCGCCGGCCTGGTTCTGCTATCAGTTACCTTTGCTCCCCTGCCTGCCACCTCCCAGCTTTTTTGCCGAAGTTACTGTTCCTCCATTCTCTTTGTTTTTGCAGCTTTATTCCTTTGTTTTTTTTTTTTTTTGTTTTTTTTTTTTCTTTACTCTGATTGTAGGAGGACTTGAGGTCGGGAAGAAGATGAATCCAAGTGGTTAACTAGAAGTCCTCCATGTTACAGCAAATGTCGACAGTGCTTTCCCACCAGCTCTTCCTGACTTCAGTCTCTTTCTCTTCAAGTCAGCTTCATCAGTGCTCCCTGACTTAATTTTTCTAACATGTAGATAAGCTAAAGTCACATCCTGCCAAAATGTGGTTGGCCTCCCCTGGGAGAAGATGTGGAATTGCTAGGCTGAATTGCAGGGCCCTTTACAACTGCCCCTCTCCAGTCTCATCTTTGGTGGGTCTTCCTCACATAGTAACCCCTAGCATATTTATTTTCTCCTAAGCCTGTCCTTTACTTCTCTGCCTCTATGTCTTTTATATTCCTTGTGCCTGGGATCCTCTGAGTGTCCACTCTGGCACACTCCTACTTATTCTTCAATAACCATAACCAAGGGGCCAGCACTGTGGCATAGCAGGTAAAGCCGCCGCCTGCAGTGCCAGCATCCCATATGGGTGCCATCTCGAGTTCACTTCCAATCCAGCTCTCTGCTGTAGCCTGGCAAAACAGTAGAAGATGGCCCAAGTCCTTGGGCCCCTGCACCCACATAGGAGACCCAGAAGAAGCTCCTGTCTCCTGGCTTTGGATCGGCATAGCTCTGGTCATTGTGGCTATCTGGGGAGTGAACCAGCGGCTGGAAGACCTCTCTCTGTCTGCCTCTGCCTCTCTGTAACTCTGCCTTTCAAATAAATAAATAAATCTTAAAAAAAAAAAAAAAGAACCATAACCAGGTGTTACTTCCCGTGTGCAGCCTTTCAAGACTGCACACTTCACTGAAGGCAGAATTTATTAATCTCCTTGTGCTCCCAAAGCACTAGTTTAAAAGTGTGTTAGACAGAGACAGACGGACAAAGCTCTCATGCATTGCTCCACTCCTCAGATGCCTGAAAAGCTGGGAGTGTGAGGCCCAAAGGTGGGAGCTAAGAACCCAATCCAGGTCTCCCACATGGGTGGCAGGAACCCAACTATTTGAGCCATCACCCCTTCCTCCTAGGATCTGCATTAGCCAGAAGCTGGAGTCAGGATCCAAGGTGGGTATTAAACCCAGAAACTCCATCATGAGACATGGGCATCTTACATCTTATTTATTCATTTGAGAGACAGAGAAACAGAGAATGCCCATCTTCTTGTTCACTTCCCAACTGCCTGCCTCAGCCAAGGCTGTACCAGGCCAAAGCTGGGAGCTGGGATCTGGGAACTCAATCCAGGTTTCTCACGTGGGTGGCAGGGGTCTAGCCACTAGTCAGCACCTGCTGTCTCCTATGGTATGCATTAGAAGGAAGCCAGATTTAGGTGCGCAGCCAGGACTCCAACCCAGGCACTCTAGTATGGGATGTGGGCATCCCAAGCAGTATCTTAACCACTGTGCCAAACACATGCCCACTAGGCGGATGCCTTTGAAATAGCAATTTATTTATATGCCTGCCTCATGAGCCAAATGGTCACCTCCTTTAAGATGGGAACTATCTTTTCTTATCCTCAGTATACTAAGTACAATACAAAACCTAGTGCTTTGTGCCCTGTTAACATTGTGGAAACATCTATCAAATGAACCATATCACGGTGATGGTCGCTGACTCAGCTGTCATCTTCCTGTTTTAGGTACACAAGCCATGCCCCCTCTCTTTTCCCTGGGGTACCACCAGTGCCGCTGGAACTATGAAGATGAGCAGGATGTAAAAGCAGTGGATGCAGGATTTGATGAACATGACATTCCATATGACGTCATGTGGCTGGACATAGAGCACACTGAGGGAAAGAGGTACTTCACCTGGGACAAAAAAAGATTCCCCAACCCCAAAAGGATGCAAGAGCTGCTCAGGAGCAAAAAACGTAAGGTAAAATCAGCTAGTATTTCTGAAACTTTTAAATGTCAGAACTTTTAAAAATTGTTTAAACTTGCCTGGGCATACTCATGAAGGAGAACCATCTGATTTTTTTTAAAGAAGGCTATGAAAATGGTACCTTCACACGTAATTGTGACTATGACCACAAGAAAAATGCAGGGTGAAAGTGTGGTATCTCCATCCATCCCTGCTCTAATTGTCTAGGTCCCTGTGTTAGGCTATTTTGTGTCGCTATAACAGAATACCTGAGGCTAGGTAATATATCAACAAAGAGTTTTGCTTAGCTCAGTTTTGCAGATCTAAGAGCATGATACCAGCATCTGCTGAGCCCTGGTGAGGGCCTTTTATTTATTTGTTTATTTATAAAGATTTATTTATTTATTTGAAAGTCAGAGTTTCACAGAGAGAGAGGAGAGGCAGAGAGAGAGAGAAGTCTTCCATCCTCTGGTTCATTCCCCAATTGGCTGCTTAGGCCAGAGCTGTATCAATCCAAAGCCAGGAGCCAAGAGCTTCTACTGGGGCTCCCACATGGGTGCAGGGGCCCAAAGACTTGGGCCATCTTCTGCTTTCCCAGGCCATGGTAGAGAGCTGGATTGGAAGTGGAGCTGCTGGGTCTTGAACTGGTGCCCATATGGGATGCCAGCCCTGCAGGCCGCAGCTTTACCCGCTATGCCATAGCAAAGGCCCCAGTGAGAACCTTTTGACTCTCTCCCAACCTGGTGGATAGCATCATGATGAGAATGCAAACGAGGGGGAGGGATCACACAGCAAGCATCACACAGAGCCCTGGAGCATCCAGAATCACTCTTTTATTTATTTTGAAAGATTTATTTATTTATTTATTTATTTGAAAGGCAGAGTTACAGAGAGGCAGAGGCAGAGGCAGAGAGAGAGAGAGAGAGAGAGAGAGAGAGAGAGGTCTTCTATCTACTGGTTCACTCCCCAGATGACCACAACGGCCAGAGCTGTGCCTATCCAAAAGCAGGAGCCTAGAGCTTCTTCCTGGTCTCCCATGTGGGTGCAGGGGCCCAAGGACTGGGCCATCTTCCACTGCTTTCCCAGGCCATAGCCAAGAGCTGGATCAGAAGTGGAGCAGCCAGGATTCGAACCAGTGCCTGTATGGGATGTCAGTGCTGCAGGCAGCAGCTTTACCTGCTATGCCACAGCGCCAGCCCCCAGAATCACTCTTTTATAACACACGCTCTTGCAGGAACTGGCCCAGTCCTGTCAGAAACACATTAATCCCTTCCAAGGGCAATGCTCTGATTATCTAATTACTTTCCATTAGGGCCTGCCACTTAAACATTCTACCATCTCAACACTATCACACTGAGACCAGAGACTTAGCATTTTCATTCTCATTTCTTGTGGCCTATCTGGAGGCATGTGAGTGATTCTCCCACATCCATCAACATTTGGTTTCTACATCAAGATGGATGACACACGCATCAGAAGTGTATCCATGGCTTATACTCAAATAATGAGACTTCTGAAGACAGCGCGCTTCCCAGACTGGTTTGAAAAAAGCTTCAGAAAACTAGGAAAGCAGACTGGCTCAGCTTTTATAATTGTTGGAGGGAGGGGTTGGGTGCAGATTCTTGCATATGGGCTGAGACTTAAAAAAAAAAAAAAAAGATTATTTGAAAGGCAGAGTTACACAGAGAGAGAGAGAGCAAGAGCAGGATCTTCTATCTGCTGGTTCACTCCCTGAATGCCCAAAAGGGCCAGATGGAAGCCAAGAGCCAGGAGCTTCTGTCAGTCTCCATGTGGGTCCCAGGTGCACTAGCAGAGAGCTGGATATAGGATGCTGGCATCACAGGCTGCAGCTTAACCCAGTCTTGAATGGGTTTGAATTTTCTGCTGGCACCAGAGGTGGGAGCACCAGGGCTGTCTGTCAGTTTGCCACAATGTGGGCAGAAAGGAAAGGGAGCGTGGCAGGGCTTGGCAGAGTCAGATTCTTCATTATACCACTTCTTTTTCCTGCATGCTTCTCTGATGGACCTCACCTGTTAATCTGGCTGAGAAAAGGACTGAAGTAGAAAATGAAGAGGGGAGAAGCCACTGGAAATTGTAGTGCTTCTTTTCTGTTGCAGAAGTGATGGTGGTGGTATTGGCAACAGTGAAAGAAGGAGGGAGGGAGAGAAGGAGAGGGAGAGAGAAGGGGCGGTGCACCCCATTTGTATCATGTAAACAGACACAGTCCCCCTCTTTGAGATTGAACTTGCCTTTTTAACCCATTCTTCTGATCCTCAGGCTTTTCACAGGTGGCCAGAGCCAATCCTGTTAATTCCTAATGATCCTATTAATAAATACCATTTATCAAGCAGTAATTTTGAGCTACTCCATATAATTAAGTACATTATCCCATCCAGTCATCACAAAACTGTGATACAGATCTTGCCACTAATTTTTTATTTATTTTTTTCCAAAGATTTATTTTATTATTTATATGAAAGTCAGAGTTACAGAGAGAGGAGAGGCAGAGAGAGAGAGAGAGAGAGAGAGAGAGAGAGAGAGGTCTTCCATCCACTGGTTCACTCCCCAATTGGCTGCAACGGCCGGAGCTGTGCCGATCCAAAGCCAGGAGCCAGGAGCTTCTTCCAGGTCTCCCACATGGGTGTAGGGACCCAAGGACTTGGACCATCTTCTACTGCTTTCCCAGGCCATAGCAGAGAGCTGGATTGGAAGTGGAGCAGCCAGGACTTGAACTGGCACCATATGGAATGCTGGCACTGCAGGTGGCAGCTTTACCCGCTACGCCTCAGCACTGGCCCCTGCATTTTTTTAGATTTGCACAAAAGCACATCTGAATAAGTGCATAAGTAGCGAGGTGGGAATCTGAACCCTTGTCTGCCTGACTCCAGAACTTCTGTCCTCATAAACGTTGTTTATCAAATCTTTTGAAGGTTCCTGATGCTGTACTCCTGATGGAGGGTGTGGGGAGCAACTGAGACTAGACTAAATTACTGGAACTGCTAAGACTAACTCTATGCATCTGATCTCCCACCATATGGCGCTGAGAGGGAATAAACAACTTCCACACAGCTGCCTCACCAATTTGACTAACAAGCTGTAGGAGCTGATCCTGCCCCTGATTGGAGGAGAGCAGCGTACTCGGCGTGTGGGTAGCAGAGTTGGGATTGGTGGAAGAGGATTATAAAGGAGGAGAGAGACAACATGCACCAGGAACATCTGAGCAACCCCTGAGAGAGCCGGCGGGCCGTGTGCCGCCCCTCCGCGGAGGCAGGCAGATGGGCAGGCGCACGGGGGCGCGGAGGGGGGTTGGGTGGCAGCAAACCCGGGAAGGGCCGGGCAAAGGGAACAGCGCAGGGTCCTGTGTCGTTCCTCCGCGAGTGGGGGAGCGACAGAGGGGATGCAGGCATGAGCTTCTCTGGGTGTCTCAGTGAGTGGGGGAAAGGCAGGTCTCCAGCAACAGTACAGAGCAGCAGCGCGAGACCCCAGGGCAGGACCAGCACTGTTGTGTAGCAGGTAGAGGTGCCACCTGAAACACCAGCATCCAGATGGGCGCCAGTTTGATCTCCCAGCTGCTCCACCTCTGTTCCATTTCCCTGTTGATGGACTGGGAAAAGCAGTGAAAAATGACGCAGGTATTTGGGCCTCTGCCACCCATCTAGGAGACCTGGAAGAAGCGCCTGGCTTCCGCATGGCCCAGCCCTGGCCATTGTAGCCATCTGGGGAGTGAATCAGCATATAGAAGACCTCTCTGTGTCTGTCTTTCTCTGCCTATCGGTTTGTCTTTCCCTCTTTCTCTGTGGCTCTGATTTTCAAATAAACAAACAAATCCAGTGCAGTTCAGATGAGCCTGGAAGAACGAGTCTGTAACTATTGGAGAAGTGGGGAAGTAGGGGTGAGGGAGAGGGCCATGTCGCCAGAGAAGGGAGCATCCAGGGTGCTGGTTTGACAGAGTGGGCGTGTGAAGGTTTGAATGGGGTGGCAGGGGAGATCTGACTGGGAAGGTTGGGACTTTATGGTAAGCTTTGTATGCATTTGGAGACATTAAAAGTTTTTGAATAAGGGGTTGATATCCAGGATATATAACCAACTCCTACAGCTCAGCAACAACAAAAACAATTAAAAATGAGCGCAGGACTTGGATAGACTTTTCTCCATGAATTTACAAATAGTCAATGAGCACAGGAAAAGATGCTCACTAATCAATAGGGAGATAAAATCAAAACCACAGTGAAATACCACTTCATACCATTGAAGTGGCTATTATTAAAATTCCAAAAGGAACAAGGATTTAGCCTGTAATTAAGATGCCTGCATCTTATACCAGAGTGCCTGGGTTCGATTTCCAGCTCCAGCTCCTGACTCCAGCTTCCTGCCAGTGCAGACTCTGGGAAGCAGTGGTGATGATTCCAGTAATTGAGTTCCTGTCACCCGCATGGGAGACCTGAATTTTGTTCCTAGCTCCTGGTTCTGGCCCCAGCCCAGCCCTGACCATTCAAAGCATCTTAGAAGGAAATCACCAGATGTGAGCACACTCTCTTTCTCTTTCTCTTTGCCTTTCAAAAAATCAAAAAGATTTATTTATTTGAAAGTCAGAGTTATACAGAAAGCAAAGGAGAGTCAGACAGAGAGGTCTTCTATTTGCTGGTTGACTCCCCAGATGACCACAAAGGCTGGAGCTGTGCCACTCCAAAGCTAGGAGCCAGTAGCTTCTTCCAGGTCTCCCATGAGGGTGCAGGGGCCCAAGGGGTTGGGCCATCTTCTGCTTTTCCAGGCCATAGCAGAGAACTGGATCGGAAATGGAGCATTGGGGACTCGAACCGGTGCCCATATGGGATGCTAGCACTGCAGGCAGTAGGTTTACCCTCTACGCCACAGCACTGTCCCCTCAAATAAATTTTTAAAAAGCAGAAAATAACAAGTGTTGTCAAGGATGTAGAAAAATCAGAATCCTCGTGCACTGTTGGTGGGCACATAACATGGTGCAGCTGCTGTGGAAAACAGGGTGGCAGGTAAACAAAGAATGACCTTATGATCCAGCAATTTTACTTCTGAATATTCCCAAATGTATTGAAAACAAGGATTTGAATAGATAATTTTATGGAAAAGTGAAATTAAAAGACAAGTTTATTTTTGAAAAATTTTTGAAATATATAATTTTTTCATAATTAGCATTTCCATGAAGCTTTTGAAGATCCCTCCTATGTGCATTTTCAAAGAGGCATTAGTCACAGTAGCCAAAAGATAGAGCAACCTGGCCGGTGCCACGGCTCACTAGGCTAATTCTCTACCTGCGGTGCTGGCACCGCGGGTTCTAATCCCAGTTGGGGCATCGGGTTCTGTCCCAGTTGCTCCTCTTCCAGTCCAGCTCTCTGCTGTGGCCCGGGAAGGCAGTGGAGGATGGCCCAAGTGCTTGGGCCCTGTACCCGCATGGGAGACCAGGAGGAAGCACCTGGCTCCTGGCTTCGGATTGGTGCAGTGCGCCAGCCGTAGTGGCCATCTGGGGGTTGAACCAATGGAAGGAGGACCTTTCTCTCTGTCTCTCTCACTGTCTAACTCTGCCTGTCCAAAAAAAAAAAAAAAAAAAAAAAATAGAGCAACCCACATATTATCAGTAGATGAAGGAATAAATAGAATGTGTTATATCCATATAACGTATATAGCCTTAAGAGTGAAGGAAATTATAATACATGTGACAGCATGGATGATAGTGAAGTAAGCCACTCACAAAGATAGAAATACTGTATGGCCCCTGTAGTCTGAAAGAAGTCAAGTTCACAGAGACAGAAAATAGATTGTTGGATGCCAGGGGCTGGGAGGCGAGAATAGAAAGTTGTTGCTTAATGGGTATAGAGTTTCAATTTTGCGAGATGAAGAGCTCTGGAGATTGGTTGCACCACAATGTATATGTACCTAACACTGCGAAACTATACATTTTAAAGTGATAAATTTTATGTTAAATGTATTTTATCATAATAAAAAACTTAGAGCTTTTTAGAACAGAGAATTAAACTTTAATATATGGTATCAATTAGAATAAAGATGAGGGGGCTGGGGCTGTGGCACAGTGGGTTAACGCCCTGGCCTGAAGCGCCAGCATCCCATATAGGCACCAGATCTAGTCCCAGCTGCTCCTCTTCCGATCCAGCTCTCTGCTATGGCCTGAGATAGCAGTAGAGGAAGGCCCAAGTCCTTGGGCTCCTGCACCAATGTGGGAGACCCCAAGGAAGCTCCTGGCTCCTGGCTTTGAACTGGCATAGCTCCAGCCATTGAGACCATCTGGGGAGTGAACCAGTGGATGGAAGACCTCTCTCTCTGTCTCTACCACTCTCTGTAACTGTCTTTCAAATAAATAAAATAAATCTTTTTTAAAAAAATAATAAAGATGAGGAGGAGTGATTGAAAGGTAGTTCTAACCACATAAAGTGGCATTGAGGCCCTCGACTGGGTTAGAGTGATGATGTTACAAAAGTAGGGAGAAAAGCTAGAGACACAGCTATGTCTCACAGCTTTTCTTAAACCATCGTCTGCTCTTGTTTGTTTTTAGATTTATTTATTTATTTGAAAGTCAGGATTACAGAGAGAGAGAAAACGAGAAAGAGAGATATCTTCCATCCACTGTTTCACTCCCCAGATGGCCATAATGGCCAGGGCTGCGCCAGGCCGAAGCTAAGAGTCAAAAGCTTCATCCATGTGGGTGGCAGAGCCCCAAACACTTGGGTCATTTTCCACTGCTTTCTCAGGTGCATTAGCATGGAGCTGGATCAAAAGTAGAGCAACTGGGACACAAACTGGCACCCATATAGCATGCCAGAGTCACTGGTGACAGCTTTACCCGCTGCACCACAATGCCAGCCCCAAACCATCTTCTTAATATGCCCATACCATTGGTTTTGGACTTTTTTATTTTTTCTGAATGTGTTATTCTTTTGGTTTCTTTATGTTTCCTTTTATCAATGAAATCTTATCCCTTGTCAGTTTCAGAAGCAGGCAATCTGCCTACTTAATCCTTTGTGTATAACAAGCAGAAAGGTTAATAATTTTATTTTGGGATTATTATTGTGGTACAGCAGGTTAAGCCATTTCCTGCAATGCAGGCATCCCTTATGAATGACAGTTCAAGTACTGGCTGTTCCACTTCCAATCTAGCTCCCTGCTAATACACCTGGAAAGGCAGCAGAGGATTGCCCAAGTTCTTGGGCCCCTGCACCCATGTGGGAGACCTGGATGGAGTTCCTGGATCCCGCCTTTGGCCTTGCCCGGCCCCATCCATCTGGGGAGTGAAACAGTGGATGGAAGATTTCTCTGTGTGTGTGTGTGTGTGTGTGTGTGTGTGTCTCCCTCTCTCTGTCACTCTGCCTTTCAAATAAATATTTATATTTGTATTATATTTATATAAATATATTTGTATTATATTTATATTATTTATATTTATAAATAAATATTTCTATAATAATATTGGTTTGGCAGCAATAATTATAAATGAGCATTAACTTAGTTTTGATGTCAGTTTAAATTTCCATAAGTACGTGAAGTTATGAGATTTTACTGGTGTTTGAAATATTTTTATACTAATTGTAGTTTTTTCCAAGTAAATTTTGGCCTCCAAAACTATGTTGAAAATGGTTAAATGAACTTATGTCTCGTGTAAAACTGACAAGCTCTTCAAACCTTTATGTGCTGACAGCTTGTGGTCATCAGCGACCCCCACATCAAGACTGATCCTGACTACTCAGTGTACGCCAAGGCCAAAGAGCAGGGCTTCTTTGTGAAGACCCGTGAAGGGGCGGATTTTGAAGGGATATGCTGGCCTGGTATGACCTTACTCTGTGCACTTCCTATTTCCAGCTGGGGGAGGGTGCACGGCATCGTTTTCAGTCCTTGCAGACAACTCTTGCTCCTCTAGCTATATGGTAAGCAAGAGATGGCATTGCCTTCGTGTCTTTCATAACACCTGGTCCAGCATGCCTTGGGTATATTTACCACTCATAGTTGAATGTATGGAGGGACAGGCACACCTCAATGGCATGATATCTCTGTAAGCAAATAGAGGTAAAAAGTCAGAGAACTGGCCCGTGCTGCAGCTCACTAGGCTAATCCTCCACCTGTGGCGCCGGCACGCTGGGTTCTAGTCCCGGTTGGGGCACTGGATTCTGTCCCGGTTGCTCCTCTTCCAGTCCAGCTCTCTGATGTGGCCCGGGAGGGCAGTGGAGGATGGCCCAGGTTCTTGGGCCCTGCACCCACATGGGAGACCAGGAGGAAGCACCTGGCTCCTGGCTTCAGATCAGCGCAGCATGCTGGCTGCAACGCGCCAGCCGTAGCAGCCACTTTGGGGGTGAACCAATGGAAAAAGGAAGACCTTTCTCTCCGTCTCTCTCTCTCACTGTCTAACTCTACTGTCAAAAATAAAATAAAATAAAATAAAATAAAATAAAATAAAATAACAGTCAGAGAATGGGGAGGAGAAGGAAGAAAAGCCCTGCAGACCCTCTCCTGTGTTCTTTGCTCTTTGGGCCCATAGCTATGTCTCCTCAGCCTACCGTGGGCACCTCAGCTGCCTCTGGAGACTTGAAAGTTGTTAGTGCAAAGCCATAGCACTCTGTCATAAACCCACACCTTGCCTGCCTTTCTCCCCTCTGAATGCTCTAAGAACCGAAGGGTCCCTGCGGATGTCTGCCGTCCTTACCTGGGCTAGCACAGGCGTCCATGAGGGACAGGCTGCAGCCAGAGCTTGTTTGCTGGCATTCCCCTGGGCTTCTGGTGGTGAGAGCTCTGGGGAGTGTCACTGGAGTCCAGCATGGCCCTCATTCACTTCCTGCCTCACTGTACTTCTGTCAGCTGTCTTTGACATTTGCTGTAGGATATCCACTGATTAACCTGCTCTCCCATCTGGGACTTCTTTTACAACACATTTCCGGTAAGGACCAGTTTTTGAACAAACTGTGCACTGTTCTGCTCCTGCAGGTCTCTCCTCTTACCTGGATTTCACCAATCCCAAGGTCAGAGAGTGGTATGCAGGTCTTTTTGCGTTCTCTGCTTATCAGGTTGGTTTGTATTCTTTTGCTCTTTCCTAGTTACTTGAAAGAATGAGAGGGGGGTAAAACTGACTGATGGAAGTTCTCTGTTGCATTGAGTAACACTTGATAGATACTACTTGTATGAAAAGGCAAGGATGGCCACCATATTAGAGACTTTAGTCGTGGCAGAAGAGGTGCCACATGTGTTACTAAATACACAAAAGCTGGGATTTTCACCTCGGTGAAAATGGAGTCTGCAATATTTCAAAATATAACAGACTTATTATACATTCAAATCACTATATATTTTATACAAAATTATATTCTATAACTATTATTTCAAGATGATGATTCATGTGAAAATAACTGTTTTTTTTTTTATTTATTTTTTTTTTATTTTTGACAGGCAGAGTGGACAGTGAGATAGAGAGACAGAGAGAGAAAGGTCTTCCTTTTGCCGTTGGTTCACCCTCCAATGGCCGCCGCTGCAGCCGGCGCACCGCGCTGATCCGATGGCAGGAGCCAGGATCCAGGTGCTTTTCCTGGTCTCCCATGGGGTGCAGGGCCCAAGCACCTGGGCCATCCTCCACTGCACTCCCTGGCCATAGCAGAGAGCTGGCCTGGAAGAGGGGCAACCGGGACAGAATCCGGCGCCCTGACCGGGACTAGAACCCGGTGTGCCGGCGCCGCAAGGTGGAGGATTAGCCTATTGAGCCACGGCGCCGGCCCGAAAATAACTGTTTTAAGATTTATTTATTTGAGAGGTAGACAGAGAGAAGGAGAGGCAGAGAGACAGGTCTTCTATCTGCTGGTTCACTCCCCAAAAGGCTGCAATGGCCGGAGCCAAGCTTCTTTCGGTTCTCTCACACGGGTGCAGGGGCCCAAGCATTTGGGCCTTCTTCTACTGCTTTCCAAGGCTATCAGCAGGGATCTGGATCAGAAGTGGAACAGCTGGGACTCAAACTGGTGCCCACATGTGGTGCCCATGCCTGAGGCAGATACTTAACCTACTATGCCATAGCATTGGCCCAGAAAATATCTTACAAAGCGTAAATTGTCACTAAAAGGAAAGTATAACAATAAATGATTTTTTTCTAAAAAAAAAAAAAAAAGATTGATAAGAACTACAGGGGCCGGCACTGTGGCATAGCAGGAAAGGCTGCCGCCTGCAGTGCTGGCATCCCACTTGGGCACTGGTTCTAGTCCCGGCTGCTCTGCTTCCGACCCAGCTCTCTGCTATGGCCTGGGATAGCAGTAGAGGATGGCCCAGGTCCTTGGACCCCTGCACCTGTGTGGGAGACCCTGAGGAAGTTCTTGGCTTCAGATTGGCACAGCTCCAGCCATTGTGGCCAATTGGGGAGTGAACCAGCAGATGGAAGACCTCTCTCTCTCTCTCTCTCTCTCTCTGCCTCTCCTTCTCTCTCTGTATAACTCTTACTTTCAAGTAAATAAATAAATCTTAAAAAAAAAAAAAAAAAAGAACCACAAAGAAACCTGGAGAGGCCACATCTGGAGATCTGTTTTCAAGCAATTATCATGCTCTTAATAATGAGGAGTAGGAGTATAGTAATTCTTAGTTCAAACTGAGTACATACTATGTGCAAGCACTTGGCTAAACACTCATCATACCAGTTCTTCATGACAATGCCTTCTATGGTTGGAAGTATAATTAAATGCATTCCCATAGTTGAAAAATTGAGACATGGGGAAATTAAAAATACCTGCCAAGGTTCATCTGGACCCAAGATTAGAACTCAGGTCTCTTTGCCAGTTGCAGGTCTTCACCCCTCACTGCCAGTGTTTGGGTATCATGAATTACTATACTTATAAAGAGTTTAAAGCAGGGGTAGACAACTTGGTGGCCAAATATGGCCGTACTCATTGTACGGGCTGCTTTGTTTCGGGCTGCTTTCACAGAGAAGGGTAATTGAAAAAGACCTTATGGCCCACACAGTTGGAAAGTCCTCTCTGGCCCTTTATACAAAATGTTTGTCAGTCATTAACATACAAGGTGCTAAAGAATGGCAATTAAGATAAATATTTGGGGGGGGGGGGCTGGCACTGTGGAGTACTAGGTTGGGCTGTCATCTGTAATGTGGGCATCCCATGTGGGCAGCAGTTCAAGTCCTAGCTGCTCTACTTCCCATCAGCTCCCTGCTGGTGGTCCTGGGAAAGCAGCGCCGGGATGGCTTGAGTGCTTGGGTGTGTCTGCACCCACATGGGAGACCTGGAAAAAGCTTCTGGCTTCTGGCTTTGGATTGGCCCAGCTCCAGCCATTCTAGCCATTTGGGGAGTGAGCCAACAGATGGAAGGTATCTCTCTCTCTCTCTCTCTCTTTCTCTCTCTCTCTCCCCTTCTGTCTCTATTTCTCTCTGTAACTCTTTCAAATAAATAAATAGATCTTTTTAAAAAATAAATATTTGGATACTATGTAGCCTTGCTTATAGAATATACATGTTTAGAAAGTCAGTTACTGGGGCCGGCGCCGTGGCTCACTTGGTTAATCCTCTGCCTGTGCTGCCGGCATCCCATATGGGTGCCGGTTTCTAGTCCCGGTTGCTCCTCTTCAAGTCCAGCTCCCTGCTGTGGCCCGCGAAGGCAGTGGAAGATGGCCCAAGTGCTTGGACTCCTGCACCCACATGGGAGACCAGGAGGAAGCACCTGGCTCCTGGCTTTGGATCGGCGTAGCTCCGGCCATAGCGGCCATTTGGGGAATGAACCGAAGGAAGATCTCTCTCTCTCTCTCTCTCTCACTGTCTAACTCTATCTGTCAGATAGATAGATATATAAATAGAAAGTAAGTAAGTTACTTGCAGGGATTTGAAAGACTTATGTGGGTGAGGCAGCAAATGTGTTTTGTGGTGTCCCAGAAGGCAAGCTAGGACTTATGAGGAGATGTTACAAGAAATAGGACACAAAAAAATAATGTAATAAGCTACTAAAGAAAACTCCCTGTAATTGTAACTATTCAGTCAAATGTTGAGACACTAAGGATTTAGTAAAGGGGATTATAGCACCCTGTAAGCAGATGACCCAACTGTCCCTGCCCCATCTAATTTTGGCAGTTCTACATAGAACACAAACTATAGGTCATGTTATACAGGTATCACAGCTGTCCTATCTGAGAGTTTCAGAGAGAAGGTAGAATCTGGGCATGTTATGTGCGTCTTTAGCTAAGAGTTGTAGCAGATTATGGATGATAGAGAGCCTGATTGTGAACATTCACATTCTTTCCTCTAGAGGTTCTCCAGGGAGGTCTCAGAGCGAACTTGGTGAGCGATTTGTGTTTCACAGACAGTAGTACAGGGCAGCACTTTTTCATTCATTAGCAAATGTCTATTGAGAACTGTGTGCCAGATACTGTTGTAGGTGTTTGGATTTGTCAGTGAATGAAACAAAGTCCCCTGTCCTAGGGGGCTTATAATTGAGCAGTGATGCACTGGACAGAGCATAGGCAATAAACATAATGATAGGAAATTAAATGAGGTAGGAAAAAAGAAAATGAAGAATGCCATCATGTTAATACCTTCACTGCGGGAGTATTGTGATGCCCAATATTTGCTTGCTAGGGCTCTACGGACATCCTCTTCATATGGAACGACATGAATGAGCCCTCGGTCTTTAGAGGGCCAGAGCAAACCATGCAGAAAAATGCTGTTCATCATGGCAACTGGGAGCACAGAGAGCTTCACAACATCTATGGTTTCTATCAGGTGAGACATCCGAGAAAAGGCCTTCGGGACCCATGTGCCCTGCCTTTGGGCTACGTGTCCTTTGCTTTGTAATAACCATACTAGATTTCTTGGTATATCTTTTCTGACAATTGCAATGAGTCTTCTGTTGTAGCCAGTACAAGATTGTTTGTTATTTCTCCTTTTCCTTTTTTTCCTTCCATAATGAACTTGATGAATTAAAAAATAATGTGAGATTAATGATAACAAAGAAACTCTGTCTTGACGGGAACCATTACAAAAGGGCACTAGATACTACCCCAAAATTTTATTGACAGAGGCAATACATAAATACATCAATGGGAGGGGCAGCACTGTAGTACAGCAGGTTAAGATGCCACTTGCAACGCTGGCATCCCATATCAGAGTGCCAGTTCCAGTCATGGCTGCTCCACTTCCAATCCAGCTTGTAGCTAATGTGCTAAGGCTGAAGCCTGGAATCTGGAAAAATAGTAGAAGATGGTCCAAGTCCTTGGGCCCTTGCACCTGTGTGGGAGACCGGGAAGAAGCTCCTGGCTCCTGACTTCAGAATAGTTCAGCTCTGGCTGTTGCGGCCATTTGGGGAGTGAACCAATGGATGGAAGACACTTCTGTCTTTCTCTCTGCCTCTGTAACTCTGATTTTCAAATAAATAAATTAATCTTTTAAAAAGAGAGATTTATTTACTTGAAAGGCAAAATTAGAGAGGGAGAGAGGTGTGGAGGATAGAAAGACAGAGAGAGAACTTCATTCCACTGGTTCACTCTTCAAATGCCTGCAACAACTAGGACTGAGCCAAGCTGAAGCCAGGAACCAGAAACTCCCTCTTGGTCTCCCGTGTGGGTAGCAGGAGCCCATTTACATGGGCCATCTTCCACTGCTTTCACAGGCACATTAGCAGGGAGTTGGAACAGAAGTGGAGCAGCCAGGAATTGAACCTGCATTCAAATGGGATGTCAGCTTTGTAAGCGATGGCTTAACCTACTGTGCCCCAATGCAGGCCCCATCTGCTATTTAATTTTTGCAGGTACATTGAATAGCTCATTGAGGATGTCTGCGCAATGCTGTAATCAATTATGTCTTTGAAGTTTTTCTCCTTTGACCTTACAGCAAATGGCTACTGCAGAAGGACTGATTCAGCGATCTAAAGGGAAGGAGAGACCCTTTGTTCTTACACGTTCTTTCTTTGCTGGATCTCAGAAGTATGGTAAGGAATGGCTTGTATTATCAGACTGAAACACGCAAGTAAGCAGCCTATCATTTTCGGCCATCTATGGTAAAAACTTCTATTATGTTGACACCTTCTTTTTCAGTAGTCATTCGTCAGGCCTATGAATGTAGAGGTTAATATACCTTAAAGTATGCATTTTATACTGTAAGGCAGAACAAACCCATTTTAATCAGGTTTGATACTTGCTTCTCATTGAAGAAATGGTTGCTTAGTTGTTGAGAGAGTGACTCAGAGTATTTATTTGCTAGGATTGTTGTATCTGAGCCTGTCTATTTGATTTAATCAAAATCAGGAAGATGTACTACTGACATATTCCTTCAACCACCTGTTTCACTTAGCAATATAGCTTAAAATAGACCTGGCTGTTGCACGTGGTCAGGGTCATTTCTAACTGGGCCTGGTTCACTAGCTGATGCAAATCTAGTTCAACTTAACCACCCTGTGGCAGGAAGGCTATTTTAAGCGTGCATAAATAGCTAAGAGCACAGGTCCTAGTTTGAAGAATTCAGGCCTTGGTGTACTATGGACATTATTAGTCCTCCCACTCTACCCTTGAAAATCAGGGGTACTCTGGAAAAAGCCACAGCATTATCATCTCAGACAGAGATTTATGTTCCACCAGTGCTTACCATAGCACTAGTCCTTGAAATAAAAAGGAAGGAAGAGGGATGGAGAGAGGAAAACTAAGTATGCAACAGTTTTAAAAGTCTGTATCCAGATGATAGACTATCATGAAAATCATTTAAAATAGTACCTTTATTTGCATTAAAAATTGTTTATGACACCACAACAAGTGAAAAAAGAGTGCCTAAGTGTTTATATAATATCACAATTTTATAAAAAATAAATTGGGGCCAGCATTGTTGTGTAGTGGGTTAAGCTACTGCCTGCAGTGCTGGCACCTGATGTGGCCCCTGGTTTGAGACCCAGCTGCTCCACTCCTGATCCAGCTCTCTGCTATGGCCTGGGAAAGCAGTAGAAGATGGCCCAAATACCTGGGCCCCTGCACCCACGTGGGAGACCTGGAAGAGGCTCCTGGGACCTGGCTTCAGATTGGCGCAGCTCTGGCCGTTGTGGCCATCTAGAGAATGAACCAGCGGATGGAAGATCTCTCTGTCCTTCTCTATCTGTAACTCTGATTTTCAAATAAATATGTAAACCTTAAAACACACACATACACAATCCCTTGAAAATATTTTTTTGTTGTTGGCTATAGGACAGACTAGAATTTCTCTGAAGAATCAAATGAAAATGTCTACTAGAACTATCTTGGTAAAGAAGGCAGGTGTTTGGCTTAGTGGTTAAGATGCTGATTAGAACACTGGCAACCCACATCAGAACACCTGGGCTCAATTTCTGGCTCAAGCTCCTGATTACAGCTTCCTGCTAAAGCAACAGGTGATGTCAAGTAGTTAGAGACCTGGATTTAGTTCCTGGCTCCAACGGCAGTTCCAGCTGGTCCTGGTGCAGCCTGGGCTATTGCAGTCATTTGGAGAGTGAACCAGTGATGGGAGCTCCTCTCTCTGTCTCTCATTCTGTGCCTTTCAAATAAATAAATAAATAAAAATTTAAAATGCTTCAAGAATAATCCAAATTTAACAAAATAAGATTTTTTTTGTTTCTCTTCAGCAGTATATAATCTATCATTTTAAACTCTTAGCAATACAATGAATGAGAACACTGGCTTTGGAGGCAGACTGCCCAGGCTCAAATCTTACCACACTACCACTTAATAACTACGTGAATCTGGGTAGACTCTCTACCCAGTATTTGCCATCTCCCCCTCACCGTCACATGGAGTAATACAGGGTTGTTGTCAATTATGTGAGATAAATACAAGCAAAGAGTTTAGCATGGATGATACCTGGCCCAGAAGGGGCTCAGTGAATGTCAACTATTGTTATTGCTGTTGCTCTTATGTTGCCCCTGGATGGACTGTACCACTCCTGTCAAATTTTAGAGGACTTTTTTGGCAGTGGAGGGCCGGTGGGGAAAGGAGAAATAGGCACATGATCAGTAGAACAAAAGAGAGGCTATAGAGAGAGTGCAGCACGTACTTGACTCATTGATTTGCAGTTTTACCAGGCAGTTCAGTGGAGAAGAGATAGTTTTTTATAAACAGTTCGAGGACAGCTGGATACCAATGTAGGAGAAAAATGGAACCTCAATCTTACCTCGCTGTATTCAAAACTTAGGGGCCGGTGCCGCAGCTTACTAGGCTAATCCTCCGCCTTGCGGCGCCGGCACACCGGGTTCGAGTCCCGGTCGGGGCGCCAGATTCTGTCCTGGTTGCCCCTCTTCCAGGCCAGCTCTCTGCTGTGGCCCGGGAGTGCAGTGGAGGATGTCCCAAGTGCTTGGGCCCTGCACCCCATGGGAGACCAGGAGAAGCACCTGGCTCCTGCCTTTGGATCAGCGCGGTGCGCCGGCCGCAGCGGCCATTAGAGGGTGAACCAACGGCAAAAGGAAGACCTTTCTCTCTGTCTCTCTCTCTCACTGTCCACTCTGCCTGTCAAAATAAATAAATAAATAAATAAATAAAAAATACAAAAAAAAACTTAGGGGCAGCTGCTTCAGTTGCCGCTTGGGACACTCTCATTCCACCGGGAGTGCCTGGCAGGAGTCCGAGCTGCTGGCCACCCACTCCCAGTCCAGCTTCTTGCTAATGCTCATCTTGGGAGGTGGGAGGTGGTGACTTAATGCTTGGGTCTGTGCCTGCCACCCGTGTGGAGACCTGGATAGAGTTTTAGCTCTTTACTTTAGCTTGGCCCAGCCCAGTGCTGGCAGATGTGGGCATTTGGGGAGTGAACCAGCAATAAAAGATCTCTATGTTTCTCTCTCCCTTTCAGATAAAATGAAAATTAATAAAAAATTTGAGAAAATTGACTCAAAGTGGAATATAGAGCTAAGTTATAGAGTCTTTAAAAAAAACTTCTAGAAAAAAATAAGAGAAAATATCTGAGAAAATCAGAGAGGGTAAGACTTCCTAGATAAAACACACACACACAAAAAAAAGAAACATGAAAAAAAGATAAATTAGAATTCATCAAAATTTAAAGTGTCTGTTTTTTTTTTGTTTTTTTTTTTTTTTTTTTTTTTTTTGTTTGACAGGCAGAGTGGACAGTGAGAGAGAGACAGAGAGAAAGGTCTTCCTTTGCCGTTGGTTCACCCTCCAATGGCCGCCGCGGCCTGCGCGCTGCGGCCGATGGCAGGAGCCAGGTACTTCTCCTGGTCTCCCATGGGGTGCAGGGCCCAAGCACTTGGGACATCCTCCACTGCACTCCCGGGCCACAGCAGAGAGCTGGCCTGGAAGAGGGGCAACCAGGACAGAATCCGGTGCCCCAACTGGGACTAGAACCCAGTGTGCCGGTGCCCCAGGCGGAGGATTAGCCTAGTGAGCCGCAGCGCCGGCTAAGTGTCTGCTCTTTCAAAGATATTGTTAAGAAAATGAAAAGAGGGGCACGGCGCTGTGGCATAGTGGGCTAAGCCTCCACCTGTAGTGTGGCATCCCGTATTGGTACCGGTTTGTGTCCTGGCTGCTCCTCTTCTGATCCAGCTCCCTGCTAATGCATCTGGGAAAGCAGTGGAAGATGGTCCAAGTCCTTGAGCCCCTGCACCCACATGGGGCACCAGGAGGAAGCTCCTGGCTCCTGGTTTCAGATCGGCCAGCTCTAGTGGTCGCGGACCTCTGGGGAGTGAACCAGTGGATGGATGACCTTTCTCTCTGTCTCTCCTCTCTCTGTCTATAACTCTACTTCTCAAATAAATAAATAAATAAATAATCTTAAAAAAAAGTTGAAAAAAGAAAATGAAAAGACAAACTGCATACTGGGAGAAAAGATTTGCACTTATACAAGAAAATACATATCTGTCAAAGTATTTGTATCCAGAATAAAGGGCAATAATAAGAAGACATTCTACTTTAAACGTTAGCAAAATATTTGAGTAGACACTTTACAAAGGAAGATATATGAATGATAGACACATGAAGAAATACTGAGCATCATTAATCATTAGAGAAAATTAAAACCACAGAGAGGTGAACAGATAAATAACCTATGATATGTCCATACTGTGGAATACTACACAGCTAATAAAAATGAGCAGGATACAACATTATGCTCAGTAAAAGAAGAGAACATGAAAGAGTATCTATTGTTTCCATTTGTATGAAATTCTAGAAAAGACTGATCTATAATAATAGAAAGCAAATCTTAGTAGTCAGCTAAGATGAGGGATTATCACCGTAAGGAAGCCTTGGGGCCCCTTACAGGTGTGGAACTGTTCTGTGGTTTGCTGTGGTAGAGGTTACAGGGATGTTTCTCCTGTAATCTCCCTTCAGTTATACTTCAAAAATAAATACAACTTCAGAATATTTCCATACAATACTTGTTTTGTGGATTTTGAAAACTGTTCACTTTAGAAAACTGATACATTTTTATTATAGATGATCAGAATGTATTTATCTTTTTAAGATTTATTTTATTTATTTTTAAGTCAGGGCAACACAGAGAGAGAAATCTTCCATTTGCTGGTTCACTTCCCAATGGCTACAATGGCCGGGGCTAGACCAGGTGGAAGCTAGGAGCCTGCAACTCCATCAGGGTCTCCCACATAAGTGGCAGAGGTCAAAGACCTTGGGCCATTATTTGCTGATTTCCCAGGCACATTAGCAGAGCTGGCCTGGAAGCAGAGCAGCCAGGATTTGAACCAGCGCTCCGATGCGGGATGCTGGGGTTGCAAGCGGCTTAACCCACTACTGCACCACATGCGGGCCCTGGAATGTGTCTATCTTAAGGGAAGAAATCTTTCTTTTTATTATTATGTGTTTTACAAATATGGATTCTAAACATGAAATTGAATGCATGAGTTGATTTGTGATTTTTTTTTTTTTTAAATCTTGTTACTGTGACCAAAGGCGCTGTGTGGACAGGAGACAACACAGCAGACTGGAGTTACTTGAAAATTTCTATCCCAATGTTACTGACTCTCAGCATCACTGGGATCTCTTTCTGCGGAGGTAAGATGAGTCCTTGAAGCTGGAGAAAATTCTAAAATGAGCGTGTTTTTGTCAAAGCTGGTCACAGACGCCTTCTCACCAGCTGTTTTTGGCAGGGCTAAATGTAGGAAAGAGAAAGTGGGAGAGGATGAAGGGCAGGCAATGAGAGAGTGAGGGGACTCCCGGTACTCGGGGCTCTGTCTCGTCTGAATAGGGGACGTTAAGCTGTCGGACTGCCTGCTTCCCTCCATGTCTTAGCTCTTCCTCCCTAGACACTCTTGATGACCCAGTGTCTCTTCCTGGAACATCTTTTCTTAAAAGTGAGAAAAATAGAACTACAAAAAATTTAGCATAGTTGTCAGCTCTACAGAAAGATTTTCTGTTCACCAGATTTCTAATTCTGTGACGTATTTTAGCTGTGCATGTGTGTGTGTTGTGAAAGAATATATCCTTGGGAGAGAGAAATTTAATTAAAATAAGATCCTCTGGGGACTGGCACTGTGACATAGTGGTTAAGCTGCTGCCTGTGATGCCAGCATCCCATATGGGCACTGGTTTGAGTCCTAGCTGCTCCACTTACAATCCAGCTCCCTGCTAATGTGCCTGGGAAAGCAGCAGAAGATGGCTCAATTCCTTGGACCCCCACACCTACATGCGAGACCTGGAGGAAGCTCCTGGCTCCTGGCTCCCAGCCCCGGGCATCGTGACCATTTGGGGAGTGAAACAGTGGATGGAAGATATCTCTCTTTATCTCTTTTTCTGTGTCTGCCTTTCAAATAAATAAATATATCCTTTAAAAAAGAAGGAGACTCCCTGACGGCCTGCCTTCCCTGCAGATGGGAGAACACAGCATGGAAGGCACACAACTGGCAGCAGATCCAGCTGCGCCTTGTTTTCTGTAGCAATAAAAGCAATTAACATCCCCCTTTTTTATTTATTTATTTTTTTAAATTTGTTGACAGGCAGAGTTAGACAGTGAGAGAGAGAGACAGAGAGAGAGTTATACAGTGAGAGAGAGAGACAGAGAGAAAGGTCTTCCTTCCGTTGGTTCACCCCCCAAATGGCTGCTACGGCCAGCGCGATGCGCCGATCCGAATCCAGAAGCCAGATGCTTCCTCCTGGTCTCCCGTGCAGGTGCAAGGCCCAAGCACTTGGGCCATCCTCCACTGCCTTCCCGGGCCACATCAGAGAGCTGGACTGGAAGAGGAGCAACCAGGATAGAACCAGCACCCCAACCGGGACTAGAACCCGGTGTACCGGCGCCGCAGGCAGAGGATTAGCCAAGTGAGCCGCGGCGCCGGCCAACATCCCCTTTTGATGTGGACATTTTTAGAACATTGGTCCACATGCAGTACCAGGAATATGTCCTGCTCAAGGGCACAGCATGAAATTCTACCTAAACCCAGGTCATTCTGATTATCTGTGTCTGTTTAGTTCTTTCATTTTTATTCCTGGCTCAGCTGTTGTTTTCAAAGGAAATAAGTTGCTGACCCCTCTCCCCAACACACACACACACACATACACATTTAATAGGGCAGACATTTTGCAATTTCTAGGTTATCTGGGTTCAGGAACATAGAGGAACGTTGATGTTGCTATAAAGCCACTAACCTGGGCCGGCGCCATGGCTCAATAGGCTAATACTCCGCCTGCGGCGCCTGCACCCCAGGTTCTAGTCTCGACTGGGGCGCCGGATTCTGTCCTGGTCGCTCCTCTTCCAGTCCAGCTCTCTGCTGTGGCCCAGGAGTGCAGTGGAAGATGGCCCAGGTCCTAGGGCCCTGCACCCACATGGAAGACCAGGAGGAAGCACCTGGCTCCTGGCTTCGGATTGGTGCAGCACGCCGGCCGTAGCAGCCACCTGGGGGGTGAACCAAAGGAAAAAGGAAGAGCTTTCTCTCTGTCTCTCTCTCTCACTGTCCACTCTGCCTGTCAAAAAAAAAAAAAAAAAAAAAAAAAAAAAAAAAAAAAAAAAAAACCACTAACCTTTTGACAAGAAAAGAATATTCCAAAAGTCCAAAAGCAGATTTCCAGGTCCCCTTACAGGCTGTTTTGTGGGACTCATTTCCCTGTTGAGGCCCTGTGTTACTGTTCAGTTGGAGTGCACCTCTAGCACCTTTGCCTTGTCAGTCTTCAAGGCCTTATTTCACCTGCACACATCATGTATTCAAGGCCTCTCTTTGCCCGAGCAGCTGACGTGGGCGGGTTCATCGGGAATCCGGAGGCAGAACTGCTGGTGCGCTGGTACCAGGCGGGGGCCTACCAGCCCTTCTTCCGCGGCCACGCCACCATGAACACCAAGCGGCGGGAACCCTGGCTGTTCGGGGAGGAACACACCCAGCTCATCCGAGAAGCCATCAGAGAGCGCTACACCCTCCTGCCCTATTGGTACTCTCTGTTCTACCACGCACATGTGGCCTCTCAGCCCGTCATGAGGTAAGAGCGTGTCACCCATTCACAGCCCCCAGCAACCAGTCCGTATGGGAGGATCCCCTTGGTGAGCAAGGAGTGATTTCAAGAGGACAAGAAAAGCCCGTGTTTGATCTAGATTCACTCAGCTTATCAGGCACCGACTGTGAGCCAGGAACTGGCTGTCAAGGGCACAGAAGAGAAATACCAGATCCCCTGCTACTTTGTCATTTAAGGGTTATTATTTGATAGGCCGCAGAAGTAGAGAGATTTTAAGGGAAAAGGAAGTGACTTTGTAGCGGAATTCATGCAACACTGAAGCCCTAAGCACTCTCCTGAGGAATTAACTTACCAGGCTCTATCTCACCTTAGTAAGGGGAAACCATCTCAAGTTGGAGGTGACATTTTCCCTACTGTGTACATTGTATTCTAATTCTGTTTGAAGACAAAGTATGAAAACCCAGCTTTCTAGGTTGAAGAACGAAACCCACAGGCACAAATAACACACCAAGACTCTGGCTCTGCTATTCTTAAACTAGACTCCGATCAGAATCACCTGGCGAGAAAATTCGTATTCCTAGGCCACACCTCCGAACCCCCTAGGAATCTCCTTGGGTAAAAGGAAGGACCTGTATTTGTTAGAAGTTTCCTGGTGATTCTAGACACCAGCCAAGCTTAGAGACCACTGCTGTGTTACCATTCAGTAGGAAAAGAAGATATTGAGGGTACTCCAAATGTTCTCAGAAAAATGGAACTAAAGGATAGTTTATTTTTGGTGCAACAAATTTTTTTGAAATCCAGGCACAGTTTTTTTCCATGATATGCATTTTCCATTAGCTTTTTGAAAATCCCTCATATGCATGGATTTCAACATTTTCGCACCAAAAATAAAGTTATCTTTTAATGCAGAAAGTTCATGGAATATGGAAGTACTGATGTATTATTTCATAAGCTTGTGAATAGGCCGGTGCCACAGCACACTAGGATAATCCTCTGCCTGCGGCACTGGCACCCTGGGTTCTAGTCCCAGTTGGGGTGCCAGTTCTGTCGCGGTTGCTCCTCTTCCAGTCCAGCTCTCTGCTGTGGCCCGGGAAGGCAGTGGAGGATGGTTCAAGTGCTTGGGCCCTGCACCCACATGGGAGACCAGGAGGAAGCACCTGGCTCCTGGTTTTGGATCGGCACAGCACGCCGGACATTGCAGCCATTTGGGGGGTGAAGGAAGACCTTTCTCTCTGTCTCTCTCTCTCACTAACTCTGCCTGTCCAAAAAAAAAAAGCTTGTGAATGGATTAAAAATAAGTTTCTATTTTCCCCATGAAATGGAATAAGGATTAGAACTATTAGGTTAATGCCCAAATACATAGACGCTGAAAGTTTTATTTTTATGAACCCAAATGCCTCCTAGATAGTTGTGTGCAACAATACAACAAAGAAAGAATCCACAGCAGTTGTTCAAACTTCCAAAAATATTGCCAGCTTGAAAACAAGGAAACTCAGTTCCCTTCATTTAAATGGGTAATGACTGGGGCAGACGTCTGGCACAGTAGTTGATGTGCCACTTGAGTCACCTGCATTCGGTATCAGAGCACCTGAATTCAAGTCCTGATTCCTCTTCACTCCAACTTCCTGCTAATGTGTATCCGTGGAGGCAGAGCTGTTGGCTCAAGTACTTAGGTCCCTGCCCTCCACTTGGGAGACCTAGATTGAGTTCCCAGCTCCTGGCTTCAACCTGACCTGGCCCTGGCTGTTGGCGACAGTTGAGATGTGAACCAGCACATGGGAAGTCTCCCCCTTCCTGTCTGTCATTTTACCTTTCAGATAAACAAAGATTTTAAAAGAATGGAAGAAATCGCTTAAAAACTAAAAATTGGTTAATGACTGTTATACATGAAAAACAGCACAGAATCATCATCGTAAAATTATGGTTTTGCAAAGATTCAATTTGTTTTATACCAAAGGTGTTAGACATTTGGACTTGCATAAATTCTGATTCTGCCTGTTAGAGTAGTAGTGACGCTCAACAATTAGAGGTAAAAATTTCATGTTTTAGATGTCTCAACATGTCACTGGAGCATGTGAGTTAATACAAAGCTCTTTCACATAAGAAAAATGTAAAGTAACAGATACTGCTCATAAAATCTTGAGTCATGGAGAAGATTCTTAGCTCTTCAGCACTTTGCAATTTTGCCTGAATACTTCTAAAACTGGAAACTTAAGTGGTTGATTGTAATGAAACATCTAACAATGTTGACATGAGAATGTATCTTTCCTTTTCCCAGGCCCCTGTGGGTAGAATTCCCTGATGACTTACAGACTTTTGGTGTGGAAGATGAATATATGCTAGGTGAGCATTTCTTCATTAATTAGAGTTGTCACAATATTATATTTTTCTTATATTTACTAGTAATAGAGCACTTTAAAAAGTTCTTAATTTCAAGAAGTAAAAAAAAAAAAAAAGAAAAAGAAAAAGAGAAGAATTCTTTTACCATGATTTTCCATTCATTAGTGGGATGTTCGCTGTATTCTGTTGTAATGTGGTACTTCCCATACTGTTGTTCCTCTTCAAGTAAATCTGTCCTGTTTATGGGTATAATTTGGGATTCTCATTCTGGATCCACTACTCCTAGGCTTGTGAGACTAGTTTGGGGAAGGACAGCAGAAAAACATAGATCAGGTGAATATAGTTAAGAACCAGAGGACCTTATTTCTTATGCAATAATAGGAATTTTTTTTTTGGTTTGGCCTCTACTTTAATAAAGATTAACCATTAAATCTAATACATGGAAGTTTATCATCTTAGGAACAGGATTCATGAAGTCAAACTAAACATAGTATTGCCCAAAGGGTAAATCTCATTTGTTGTTGTTGTGTTTTTTTTTTTTTTTTTTTTTATCTTTTATTTAATGAATATAAATTTCCAAAGTACGTCTCATGGGTTACAATGGCTTTCCCCCCCATACCGTCCCTCCCACCCACCACCCTCCCCTTTCCCACTCCCTCTCCCCTTCCATTCACATCAAGATTCATTTTCGATTATCTTAGTATACAGAAGATCAGCTTAGTATACCTTAAGTAAGGATTTCAACAGTTTGTTCCCACACAGAAACATAAAGTGAAAAATAATAGATGATTTTTTTTAAATGATGTTGAAATCAGATCAGACCTATTGTCATGTTTAATCCCAGTGAGAGTCAAGTTGGGAATTGATAGTTTCTTTTTTTTTTTTTTTTTTTTAACAGAAGATCAGTTTAGTGTACATTAAGTAAAGATTTCAATCGTTTGCACCCCCATAGAAACACAAAGTGAAATATACTGTTTGAGTACTCGTTATAGCATTAAGCCTCAGTGTACAGCACATTAAGGACAGAGATCCTACATGAGGAGTAAGTGCACAGTGACTCCTGTTGTTGACTTTACCAATTGACACTCCTGTTTATGGCATCAGTAATCTCCCTATGCACCAGTCATGAGTTTCCAAGGCTATGGAAGCCCCTTGAGTTCTCCGACTCTTATCTTGTTTAGACAAGGTCATAGTCAAAGTGGAGGTTCTCTCCTCCCTTCAGAGAAAGGCACCTCCCTCTTTGAAGACCTGTTCTTTCCACTGGGATCTCACTCACAGAGATCTTTTTGCCAGAGTGTCTTGGCTTTCCATGCCTGAAATACTCTCATGGGCTTTTCAGCCAGATCCGAGTGCCTTTAGGGCTGATTCTGAGGCCAGAGTGCTATTTAGGACATCCGCCATTCTATGAGTCTGCTGAGTATCTCACTTCCCATCCAAAGGGTAAATCTCATTTGTAAACAGTGAAAACTCTCAAATATAAACAAACAAAGCAACTCTTTAAGGCTCCATTCATCACTAGATCTCAGTGTAAAAGTTACTGCTTCATAATAATTTCCCTGACCCCTCCTTACTTCCTTGTATCTAGTCTACCCACTCTACTCAACAGTAGTCCCTCCAATTATATCACTTTCATTCCAGTACATTCTTTTGCCTCTCTTGATGTTTATCTGAACTCTAATTTGTAATTACTTTTAAAAATATTTATTGATTTATTTGAAAGGCTGAGTTACAGAGGAAAAGGGAAAAGGAGAGAGGAAGAGAGGAGAGGGCAGGGTGGGTCAGAGATAGAGATAGAAATGAGATGGGGGGGGGTGTGGAGAAAGCGTCCATCTGCTGATTCACTCCCCAAATGACTGCAGTGGCCAGGGCTGGGCCAGGCTGAAGCTAGGAGCTTCATCTGGGTCTTCCACGTGGATGCAGGGGCCCAAGGACTTGGGCCATCTTCCACTGCTTTCCCAGGTGCATTAGCAGGGAGCTGAACCTGAAGTGGACTTGAACTGGTGCCCCCATGGGATGCCAGCATTGCAGGCAGCGGCGTAATGTCACAACGTCAGACCCTGTAATTACTTTTGAATATCTGCCTTCATTGACAGTAAACTCCATGAGAGCAGGAATCATACTGGTCTCATTCACCACTATATCCCTGGAGTGCTGTACAGTGCCTGGCACTCAGTAGGTAATATATAAGTGTTTATCGAATGAAAGAGCACATTCATAAATGGATGGATTATACACATCTGTGGTGCCAAGGTCAAAGCAGAACTAATAATCTAGATGCCTTTGAGATAACCAGATGCTCTCCTGATGATAACTGCCCCAGCAAAGGACCTGAGCATCCATGCTGACCACCCTTCCAGATAACAGGGGTGGGATCACCACCAGCTGTGCCACTCACAGCCAACAGGGAAGCCCCTGGAGAGGGGACTTGTGCTTTCAGGCTGTTGGCACACTAGTGGTTAGGCCCAAGCTGAGACTGTGATAGACAGGGTCTCAGAATCCTCGTGGACTGTACATGGGTTAATGGTGGGTAACAGTATCGTCACCTCTTTCTAACAGTTCATCTCTTAGATATTCATGGTTTTAACTCTTCACAGTCTCTGCCATACGAAATGGTCTTTAAAATCACATTAACACCCAATTAATGACAAAAGATGTTTACAGACCTCTTATACAACTGTTCAGTTGTATTTCTTCTCCTTGTTTTAGGAAGTGCTTTACTGGTTCATCCAGTCACAGAGCCCAAAGCCACGGAGGTTGATGTGTTTCTGCCAGGATCAGATGAGGTAATGCACACTAGCAAACAGCTGTACATCTTACATGTCTCATCTCTTTATGGATTTTTCCAGAAGTGCATGGAAAATAGGATTAAAAGATGTTTGTTTTGGTGCAAAAAATCATAAAATCCCCGCATGGTTGTTTCATAATACATGTTCCCATGAGCCTTTTGGAGACCGTCTCATCCCTTCATTTGATTTCTGCATCATGCAGTTGGGAACAGAGCCCAAATCAACATAGGAACTGATGATTCTTTCAAGTCATGACCTCCTCAGAGGTCAAGAAATTTAATGGAGGAGAAGTGCGAGAAAGATGAGAAAGTAATGACTCCATGGACGATCAGAATGGTTTTTAAAAATTAATTATTTTTCACTTTTCTTTTAAAGGCAGTGAGACAGCAACAGAGAAAGATCTCACATATGCTGGTTCACATCCCAGGGTTGGGCCAGGCCAAAGCCAGGAGCCAGAAGCTCCATCTGGGTCTCCCATGTGGGTTTCAGGGACCCAAGTACTTGAGCCATCACCTTCTGTCTTAGGGTGCACACCAGCAGGAATCTGGATCAAAATCATCGTAGCCAGCTCTCAAACCAGGCGCTCCAGTGCGGGATGCAGGTGTCCCAAGTGGCAGCTTAGCTGCGGCACCAAATGCCTACCCCCTGGAGTGACCTTTTGTATTCACACTTTGACTTATGTAAGTGGCTCCTTGAAAACACAGTCTCGGGGCAGGAAGATATCTTCAGGTTACTGTGAGGTGTGTACCTCTGAGGGACAGATGTAAGTACGAAGACTTTGCTCTTTCATTCTAGCTCTGAATCTTGGTTTAGTTGCCCAGGGCTGATCTCCAGACACTAACCAAAATAGGGAAACCAACAGTGGCTTCTCTGTATGCCCCCCAGCCTTCCTCTGCCCTTTCACTAGTTACTGTCATTCATTATTGTCACTGTATAAAATCTCATCCTGTACCTTCTGAAGCCCAGGGCACTGAACCCAGGCAGGATACAGGGGAGAGGAGAGAATAAACCATGGTCTTCAGGGCAGAGCACCACAGGCCATAAGAACAGCAGCCCTCAAAGCCAGATCAGTGACAGGGACGGCCAAGGGTGCCAGGGGAGGGGATAGGGCCGAGACTGGGGGCACTGGACTAGCAAAAAGAACGAGCAGTGGAGAGCAGGAAGGACACAGACCCTGGAGAGAGTCTCAGAGCCTTGAGCGTCGCCGTAGGCCGCAGCTGTCAGGGGCAAGTCATGGGGGGTTCTGAGCCACTGTGGTCAGGGGCAAGTCATGGAGGGTTCTGAGCCACTGTGGAACTGCGAAGTCAGGGCACTCGTCTGAGGGGCTGCCATGAGCCCACTGTGCCTGCCGTTGCTGACACGACAAGAACCCGACTTTTCTCCAGAATGGTCATGGACTGTGTGTGGGCTTTCCTCTCGGTTTCTCCAGGAGTTTGGAGTTCTAAAGCTGAGAGCTTTTTGCAAAGATCCGGCTGCCAAGCAGAAACCTGAGATAAAGGTTGACTCCAACAGCAGCTGAGAAAACAGTCTTGCGGAGCATTTGTGGCGAGAATTGCTCAAGTGGATTCTAACGGAGCAGTAGGCTGCTGTTAAGGGGAACTGGCTCCCTTTCTGCTTCAGCCGCAAATTTTACTTGGGAGCCGTCATCACTGGACGCTCCTTGTTGTGACTGTTAGACTCCATCAATACGGTTTCTCAGAAAGGCCTGTGATTGCTTCTTGTGTTGTACTATCACAAACCCTGGGCGGAAGATCCGATCTATTTTGTGCCAAGCCTGTCTCTTTACCTCAGCTGGCTGGCTAGCACACATGCTCTGAGAGGCTGTCTGAATCCTTCACTGTCACTCTTCCCCATATTTCCATGGGGACTGTTTCCTTTGTTCGAGTGTCTCTCTCTCAGTGGGGGCTTTTCAGACCACCCATTTGAGATTACAAACTGAGACCTGCATTGTGTCATAGCAGGTAAAGGTGCTGCCTATGATGGCAGCATCCCATATGGGTGCCGGTTTGAGTCCTGGCTGATGCACTTCCAATCAAGCTCTCTGCTATGACCTGGGAAAGCAGTGGAAGATGGCTCAAGTGCTTGGGCCCCTGTACCCATGTGGGAGACCCAGAAGAAGCTCCTGGCTTCGGATTGGCCCAGGTCCAGCAGTTGCAGCCATCTGGGGAGTGAGCTAGTGGATGGAAGATCTCTCTCTCTCTCTCTGCCTCTGCCTCTGCCTCTGCCTCTCTGTAACTCTGACTTTCAAATAAGTAAAATCTTAAAAAAAAAAAAAAAAAAAAAAAAAAAAAAAAAAGGTTTACGAACCATTCCCATTGCTCCTCGTGCCATCTAGCCCTTCTCCAGTCTTTTCGTTTTCTCCACAAAACTTGCCACCTTCTAATTGCTACCTGTGGATTTGATATCAGAATTTGGGCCCCTAAGATCTATATGAAAATGTGGCCCCTTAAAGTTCCCCAGAGGCCCGGTTGCCCCTCTTCCAGGCCAAGTACTTGGGCCCTGCACCCGCATGGGAGACCAGGATAAGTACCTGGCTCCTGCCATTGGATCAGCGCAGTGCGCAGGCCGCAGCAGCCATTGGAGGGTGAACCAACGGCAAAGGAAGACCTTTCTCTCTGTCTCTCTCTCTCACTGTCCACTCTGCCTGTCAAAAAAAAAAAAGTTCCCCAGAGGCCCCACCTGGGGTACCACATATGTTATCGAAATATGGGGTACCATATGATATCACCATATGCTTATTAATAAATCCCCAATATTAATAAGCCCAAGAGGGTTCTTGCCTAATATTTAGAGAAGAATTCTAAATCCTGGCATAAATAAACAAGGCAGCATGGTACATTTTAGGATTTTATTCAGTGAGAGAAATCCTAAGAGAGAGAGAGCTTTATCTATAGGAGAGAGGGGTAAATCTGGGTTCATATCGAGCACCAGGAACCAGCCATGTGGAAGAGCATCTAGGCCAGGGAGCCTAGGGCAGGTGGCCCGAAGGCCATGTGCCCTGGGGGCTCAGGGCTGCAGCCAGCCCCCTACTGGCTAGAGGCCAGGGAAAAGAAGAGAAAGGACACACACCGTGTCCCAGGCTTTTAATCCACTCTCAAAGGGGAGTGGTTAATTAACCTGATTGGCTGGTGGGAACCCAGGTGTGGCCAGGTAGGGGCATGAGGTCACACAGGGGTGTGGCGAAGGTGTGGTCTTGCAGCTCACAAACCTGATCAATTTTAACCTGTATGCCTGCCTACTTCAGACTGACTTGTTTGGTTTATTATTTGCTTCTCGCATTGGAATGTTCACTCCCTGGAGGCCTTGGTTTTCATCTGTTTTGCTCACCCTAGGCTGCTCACCTGGATGGATAGCAGGCACACAGGAGGCACTTGGCAGGTGCCTGTGGGCTGAGCTCCAGGTCTGCTCCACGTGGTGTTTTGTACCAGTTAGCCCTCCTAGGTTGGGGCACCAGAGGATGTGCCTCATGCCTCTCATTGTCATCTCTCTTGGAAATGGTAGACAGCCCCCAAATTTCATTTGGATCAGCTTTTTACCTTTCATACTCATTACCTCTTGATCTAAAACTACTGAAATTGGCCAGAGAGAAGAGGAAAAACAAAGACATTACAAGAAAAGAAAGCCAGGACAATATCCCACATAAACACAGGTACAGAAATCTTGGACAAAGTATTACAAAGTGAATGCAAAAAGATTAAGGACATCAGGACCACAGTGGAGTTGATCATGTTGATTAAGAGTTCAGTGTCACCAGCATGGTCAAGTCCCAGCCCCTTCACAGCAGGACAGTGCAGCCCCACAGCCCGGCTACCTAGAGGATCTGGTAACCCCAGGAGGTGGCTGAGAAAGAGAAAAAGAGGATTTGGATTTCACACTACCTTTTAGCAATTATTGTATATTCGGTCTGCACTAAACACATTAGTCATTCATCGTTTAAATACCTGACTTCATAAGAAGCCAGTTAAGCATTTTTCTCCCTTCTGCCAAAAGAATGCATTGAATAATTTGCTTGGAAAAAAACAACCATACTCTTATTCAGAAGTACGCTCCCTAGTGTAACAGCTTTTAAATCAGTGAGACAACAGGCTGAAGACAGATTCAGACATGTACCACCTCAAAGTGTTGAGCCCTGGACCTGCTCTCCAGGCCTCCTCTCCTGTTCACATCCTAGCATTTGTACAACTGAGACCACTGGTTTCAAAATCAGTAGGCAGAGCTGAGTTCCGCCTGTCCTGGGAGTTTAATTGAATGCAGAGTGCCGTTAGCATCACAATCAGACAATAGTTAAGCCCCAGGAGTCTGGAGCACAGAACCAGAGAACCAAGAACCATCCTAGACAGTTCTGACAGAAGGCGTAGCTTAAAGAGAGTTTTCCCAAACCTGCTGTTAGAATCTGTGCACACGTAGAAAACACAGTTACTCAGCCACTGTCCACACCATCTGCTCTTCAGACAGCGCTTTACCATCAGTCGGCTCACGCTAGGCCAGGTCCAGCAGGAAGGTACACGGTGCCCCGAATGCTCCATCTCCTAAGTTGCTGCTCTCTTTCCCAAGCCAGGCTTTCCCCTTTACAGGCCAGCCCGATGAGCACTTCTCTGATGCTTAGGCTCCTCTAGGCTTCTTTTTCTGGGTTGGCATCTTCTTGCTGGCTGCATCATGTCTAGAAGGGTTCCATGGTGCAAAGCTAATTGTATAAGGACCTTCTCCTTTAGCTTGCTCAAACAAGTAGTGCACACCTTAACACTGTCAACCACTTTCTTTTTAAAAAACTAAAAATCTTTTTCATATAGTACCATGGCCTCTGAGTTTAGGGGGCTTGCTGTATTCATCTTGTAGAAAACTCTTCTTGTATTTTTTTTAAATTGTTATGTGTTTGTTTGAAAGGCAGAGCAACAGGGAGATATTTCTGGTCTCTGCTGGTTCACTCCTCAAATGTCTGCAACAGCTGGAGCTGGGCAAAGCTGAAGCCAGGAGCCAGGAACTCCATCCGGATCTCCCACATAGGTAGCAGGAACTTAAGTACTTGAGCCTTCATCTGCTGCTTCCCAGGCATATCAGGGTGCTGGATAGGAAACAGAGTAGCCAAGACTCAAATTGGTACTCCCATATGGGATGTGGGCGTTCCAGGTGGCAGCTTAACCAACACATACCCCTCCTTATGTACATAAATACTTGTCAAATATGATTAAGTTTGGGCCTGCATTATGTGAATGTTCTCTTCATACTACTGGTGGGTGAAAGACAGGACTAGCCAACACCAAGCAAGGATCGTCACCATCAGGGTAGTTATCAGGGTGTCACCTTAGTCTCACACATGCCATTTTGATGCAGTCCATGTGGTAAGAAGGTCACTTCAGACCACATTAATGCAGAGACTGCCTGCCTGTCCATAGCACGCATAAACACCAGATGACCTGTGCTCCATAACCAAGGTAGTTCTGCAAGAAGGGAGTAGTCCAGGCAGAGGCTCTGGAAGCACATGTGCCATTTGCTGAGTGGGCTGCTGGGTGGGTGATGCAGGCTCAGTCATGGATAAAGCTCTTGGGGGAATAGAGGCAGATGGCTTCTGGCACAGTTCATGGAGGCCTGGTTTTCCTGTCCCCTGTTAACGTCTTCTCTCCACCCTCCGCTTGTTTGCACACAGAGCTTGTAGACATGGTCCAGAAAGATCCCTAATGTGTGCTCTACACGAAGAAATATGGGGGTCTGTGTCATCCACCTCTTCCACCCCCAGCGCACACAGCCAGGCAGTGCACCTCACGCCAGCGCCTTCTGTGCAGAGCTCCCACAGCATCTGGGCTGCAGCCCCAGCCTGGCCCCACCCTCTTCCGGTGGTATCTTAAAGATTTAACCTATCAAGGGCCGGCACTGTGCCACAGCAGGTTAAAGCCCTGGCCTGAGGCGCCAGTATCCCATATGGGCACCGATTCTAGTCCCGGCTGCTCCTCTTCTGATCCAGCTCTCTGCTGTGGCCTGGGAAAGCAGTAGAAGATGGCCCAAGTGCCTGGGCCCCTGCACCCGTGTGGGAGACCCGGAAGAAGCTCCTGGCTCCTGCCTTCAGATGGGCGTAGCTCCAGCTGCTGTGGCCAACTAGGGAGTGAACTGTTGGATAGAAGACCTCTCTCTCTGTCTCTACCTCTCTCTGTAACTCTTTCAAATAAATACATAAATCTTAAAAAAAAAAAAAGATTTAACCTATCAAATTACTTTGTGGGTTCTTTTTGGCACCTCAGGAACTAAACCCCCTTGACAGGAATCCCATGAAAATGTTCAGCCCTTACCTCAGAATTGTACTCTGTAAAAAAAAAAAAAAAAAAAAAAAAAAACCATTGTGGTAATGTTTCCACTTGTTTGTTCCCAGATCTGTTTTCTCCTCTAATGCTTTGCTTTTCTCCTGCTTTATTTGTGATTTATTTGCTTGCGGTGTGCTTTCCTTCCTGTGTTTGATTTCCCTTTGCCACCACCTCCTCTGCTATTAGGAGCACTAAGTTTTACAGTGCAAGTGGGCTACTGGATCCCCAAAGGCAGGAACTGTCTGTTCACCCCCGAATACCCAGCGCCTCGGACAGCACTGGGCACTTGGTGAGTTGATCAGGAAGTAACTCCTGAGTGGATGGATAGACAAACAAATGGCCTGAAAAACTAATGAGTTATGATCCTTTGAGATCTTCTTCTTCTTTTTTTTTTTTTTTTTTGGACAGGCAGAGTTAGACAGTGAGAGAGAGAGAGAGACAGAGAGAAAGGTCTTCCTTCCGTTGTTTGTTTCACCCCCCAAATGGCCACTATGACCGGTGCGCTGCGCCGATCTGAAGCCAGGAGCCAGGTGCTTCCTCCTGGTCTCCCATGCGGGTGTAGGGCCCAAGGACTTGGGCCATCCTCCACTGCACTCCCGGGCCACAGCAGAGAGCTGGCCTGGAAGAGGGGCAACCGGGACAGAATCTGGCGCCCCGACCAGGACTAGAACCCTGGGTGCCAGCGCCACAGGCGGAGGATTAGCCTATTGAGCCGCGGCGCCGGCCTGATATCTTCTTAAAAGCATATGTTCTTCCTAACTTCTACCCAAGGCTTAGGGGAAGAAACTATACGTAGTGCAGTGTTCTGCATATTTGAAATGCAGCGAAGTGAATGTTTCCCGATAGTGGCATTGTGAGCGGAGATACTCATGCAGTCTTTCTCCTGGGGTCTCTTACACTTCAGGTCTGGTATGACTCTAAGACATTCGCTCACTGGGAAGGAGGACGCACCGTGAAGATCCCAGTAGCCTTGGACACTGTAAGTTGCCTTCACCCATCGCTGTTATTCCTGTTGTGCCTAGCAGTCTGCTTGGGCTAACCTGACAGAATACCGCAGGCTGGGCGACTTACGCCTCAGCAGTTCAGTTCCTCACAGCTCTGCAGGCTGAGAGTCTCAGGTCAAGGTGCCGGTCCGTTCAGTCCTAGCCTGTAGACAGCCACCTTCTTACCAAGCCCTCACATGGCAGAGAGAAAGAAAGTGCACACATCGTGTCTCTTCCTGTAGCAGGGCCTCACCTGTGTGGCCTCATTTCTAACCTTCATTGCCTCCAGAAAGTCCTGTCTCCACATATATGGGGGAGGAGGCACGTAAACCTTCCGTCCTTAATGTGTTCCTATAGAGAAAGAACTATGCGTGCTGGTGCTCTGCACAATAACGCAGGGCTGCCCAGGGCTGGGGCAGGAGGAGGGTTTGGGAAACAGTGGGGAGTGACTGCGAACAGGGACCAGGTTTTTTTTATTGTGATGATGACTGCATAATTGTGTACTCTAAATTGATGAGTTGTGCAGGATGTGAATTGTATCAACAGAGCTGTTAAAATGTGAGGAAAGAAAGCATTCAAAGGAAACGCATTCTCTGGTTCCACAGAAACACTGGGGATACACATCAGTCTTCCCAGGGTGTTCACATCCATACGTGTAAGAAAACAGTGACACTGAAAACAGAGACCACGTGGTGGCCACGATGCATGCCACATAGAATGCCTTTTAGGGACCATGTCCCAAACCCTGAGTTCTCAGTTGTGACCGTGGGCCTCTAGGTCTGAGAGAACACCTCGGGTAGGGTGTCAGAGTCCACAGGCTCTGTCCCTTCCATCTTGAGTTTATTCCTGCAGCTGAATCACAACCGCTACCCCAGGCAGTATAATATGGTGCAGATCCATAAATAAATCCTGTTGTTATTTTTTAAAATCAGCAGCAACAAGATGAACCTCATTACAAAGAAAATTATTTCAGGCAGCAAAGTCTCTAGAAGAGACTTTCACAAGCATCTGCTGTAACCCCTCCCACTAACAGGTGAAGAAACTCAGGTTCAGAGCGATTAAAGCACTTGTCCAGGGTGCCAGCTGCTTCGAGGCAGAAGTGAGACGAGCCCCCATGTGGGGCGAGGGAGGCCAAGATCGGCTGGTAAGGGAGAGCAGCTGTGGTGGGACATAGATGTGCTTTATCCCTTGCTGCCAACTGCGAGTTAGAGGGGGTATCTACTCTCCCGCCCCCAGCTTCTCCTACGTTCTTATCCTCTCCTTACTAATGCTTCATTCAGAGCAAAGTGAAAGCCAGGCAGCTGCCCTAGCACAGGCAGGAAACCTCCCAGACCTTCCCTGGAAGGCCATTCCAGGAGACACAAGGGTCCACAACCCTAGTATTTTTTTTTTCACTGAGCAAAGCAAGATTATTTAAGCGAGAAGCCTCTTCCCACAGCTGTCAGGAGGTAGGCTCAAAGGGAGGCATGCTCCACAACCCTATTATTAGTATATCACTTAAAGTGCCCTGTGGTTTCTATAACAGAAGTGGTTTCACAGGTTCACCCCCAGAACTGAGTCAGGCATTCAGGTGATCAGAGAGAAAAGGAGCAGGAAGGGTATAGGTTACAGTAAGGACAAACGTCTCTCCAAAGAAACCACCTAGTAGGGGCAGGCATTATGGTACAGAAGGTTAAGGCATGCGTGAGATGTCTTGGTTTCCCAAAACTTCCCATCCAGCTTCCTGCTAATGTGCCTGGGCAGCAAGATGGTGGCCCAAGTACTGGGTTCTTGCCACTCACATGGGACATGGTGAAGTTCCTGGTTCCTGGCTTTTGCAAAAGCATCGTCTTGGCCATTGTGGCATTTGGGGAGTGAATCAGTGAAAGATCTCTCTCTCTCTCATTCTGCCTTTCAAATAAATAATTTAAAAAAAAAACCCATATGGTATACATATACATCTGGGCCTACAGAAAAGTTGAATTCTTTAGCAGAGCATTAAAACTAAACATTTATTTTATTGACAGGAAGTTAAAAAGGAGAGGCCATTTATAGGTTGGGCAGAATTCATCACTTACAAAAATAGCAAAGATAAATATAGACAATATATCAATAAATTTTTAAATCAATTTTTAAATGGGCCTTTTATTTTTCATTATTTGAGCTCTTTTCCTTTTCACGTCAAGGCCCACCTCTGTACCCACAAAGTTATTTTGCTCTGGAGTCTGCAATTGTAAAGAATGTGAACTTTTTTTTTTAAGATTTATTTTATTTGTTTGAAAGGCAGAGTGACAGAGAGGGAGAGACAAAGAGATCCTCAATGCACTGGTTCATTCCCCAAATAGCTGCAATAAGCAGGACCAGGCCAGGCCAGAGCCAGGATACAGGAGCCAGGAACTCCATCCAGGTCTCCCACATGAGTGGCAGGAGCCCAAGTACCTGGGTCATCTTCTGCTCCTTTCCCAGGTGCATTTGCAGGGAGTTGGATCAGAAGCAGAGCAGCTAGGGCTCAAACCAGCACTCCAGTTAGGGGATGTTGGCATCACAAGCAGCAGGTTAACCTACTGCACCAAAATGCTGGCCCCAAGAATCTTGTTTGATGAAATACTTGAAAATCCTGCTTTCATTATATCTGCACAAATACTGCCGCCATGATAGCACTGCTGTGTTACAGATACCAGTGTTTCAACGAGGTGGAACTGTGGTCCCAATAAAAACAACTGTGGGGAAATCCACGGGGTGGATGACTCACTCTCCATATGGACTCCGAGTTGCTCTAAGCACTAAGGTATTTGGAAAATCTGTTACCCTTTTTGTTTCTCTCTCTCTCTTTCTCAGCACTGGGAGCCTGTTGGGCATGACACCGTGTAAGTAGGGTGTACCTCATCTATGAGATAGGTGTTTCTAATGTTCCTCTACAACTTGAGGTTTTGAATCATCTCTGAATCCTTGTCCGGCTGATCTGCCTTTTCTGGAATTGTTCTTTTTTTCGTTGAGATTGTGTTTTATTTTTTCTGCTGACTAGGTAAAAAGCATTCATATCATGCCTGTAGTACATCCAATACATCTGCAACTTTTCTACTTAAATTCTCTATACAAAATATGCAGTTGATATGATCATTGATGGCAAAGGGCTTAAAATAACCAAAAGGTATAAAAAAAGTTTGTAGTCTTGCCCCAAGATACAAAAACTGAATTTTAAATGATATCATAACACATGATTTAAACAGTAAATGAAAATTTTTTTAAAAGTCACACATCTTAGCAAGTACAGAAATATCCAGAGGACCTAGTGTGAAATGCCTGGCAGTGTTCTTCAGGAACTCTGAGATCTGTGAAAGACAGAAACGTGTGTGGAGTGTGCCCTGGGCCTGTGGGTGCTCTTCAGTGTGTTACTGGTTACTACGGACTGAAAGTCCATGGCCCCACAGGCCGCCTGGCCCTGTGGGTAACACCCTGAAACCCGGTCTCCCGTGAGGGGGCACCTGAGTCTATGCACCATCTTAAGGACCCTAACCCCGCCCAATGACCTCTGTTGTCAGTAGGTGGCTCAAGCAACTAAATCTCCTTGGGCAAAGCCTGGAAGGACAAGTAACTAAGTTGTCCTTTTGAGGAGACCTTTTGAGCCAAGTGAGACCCATAGCAGACTCTTCTCCTGTCTGTTTACCCAAATATACTACAGGACCAAACCAGATTCTTGCTCTTGCTGCAGTAATACTTGCTCTTACATTAACATCATAAAATAAGTAAGCTGTGACTGTCCTTTCGCTCTGTTCCCCTTAGGCCTGTGTTCTTGGGCTAAATTATGGGCCTTGGGACCAAGTAAGACCAAGAAATGCAAGAGACTCGAGGTCCATAGGACATCCCACACTGCTGGCAGCAGTGACTGCCATGTGGAGCGCTGTGACGTGGACAGCAAGGGAAGCAGACCCCACTGTCTACGTGGAAGGGCTTCTAGAGGCCATTGATCTGCTCTGTCCCCTGTGGATTCTTTGTAACTTCATTGTCTTGGCCTTGTCATATTCTGAGAAAGTGTTGTCAGGGAAGCCGCCTCCCTGAGGGCTGTGCTTCACAGGTCAAATGTCTCCCCACAAGGTCGAACCCTTTGCGTTCCCTGTACGTTACTTCCTGTTTATACTATTTCATTATCTACGCAGCAGTGGTTGGATATTTGGATGACTACTCTGTGCATCTTGGATGTTAAGCTTCTGTTCAACATGGTTTTTCACAAGTGTTTTTGTTTTTGCTTTGTTTTGTTTTTAATTTTACTGTTTCCCTTTAGGGGCTTTCGCTATAAGAGGTCTCTGATTCTCCTTCCAGGGTTCTGCAGTGGGTGAGCTATACCTGGATGACGGCCATTCGTTCCAGTACCTCCACCAGAAGCAGTTCTTACATAGGAAGTTTTCATTCTGTTCCAGTGTTTTGAACAATAGGTAATGTCAGAGAGAGAAGCTGCATGCTTTTAAAAATAAATTAGGCTATCCTTTGGGCACCCTAAAATGCACAGCTGACATTTTTAAGGTACTATTTAAAGAAGTGAGTCACCCTGCCATGAATGACCCCTTCCTTATGACTCCACCTTCCTTTCCTCTTTCCTAAACCATAGGAAGGATTCAACATAAGCTCCCATTGATTCGATTCATTTATCATCCACCAATTCATTAAATATCTGGTTTCTTATAATTTTATTACAATGTCCAATCATGTTTGTGTCCTGCAGTGATTTCTGTTAGGAAAAGAGTTGCAGATGGGTGCCTCCTCACGCGGCACCATAAATGTTAGGAAAAGAGGCACAGAATAGAGAAGGCAGTGTACGAATTTACTAAATAGCTTGTTGAAGGGAAATTGGTTTGGCCACTGGTTAGCTAGTCCTTGGCACACGGAGTCATCTTGTCTCATCACTTCATCCTGGTAAATAGGGCTCCTCTAGGGATCTTGCCACTGTAGGGACAGATGGAAGGGCACCCACAAGGCTGGAGATGTTGACCAATTCAACCCCTGTCCCTCTCCTTCTCCTAATACCTTTGTATCCACTCCAGTTGTGCCGACAAGAGGGGTCATTATCCCAGCAAGTGTGTGGTGGAGCAGATCTTGGTCTTAGGTCTTGGGAAGGAGCCGTCTTCTGTGACCACGCACTCTTCTGGTGAGGAAACAGTCCTTTCTTACCTCCCCATTTGTTTTTGGGAATAGAGAAGTATCTGCAGAGAGGAGATGATTAGTTTCAAAACTGCTGTATTATGCTGAGCCCAGACAGGCTCTGTGTTTTCTGATGGAAGTCAAGTGTACCAGCTCTAGGGTCTGTCTGCTCACTGTTAGTATTTTTCTAAGGGAAATTATTTGGGGGCTTTAATATTGTAGCTTCTGAGTATTTTTTGGAACTATAGAAGTCTGAAGCCACAGAGAATCCCACTCGTGTTTATGGAGTATGAAAGGGCATAGGGTGGAATTGACATCCTTCCTTGGCTACTAACTTTCTTGGACAGGACCCTTTTTGTTCCTTACGGTTTCTTCCCAACCAGTTTATAAGTCAAAACCACGAACTGTTTCATGCTTCAAAAAATTCATGGAAGTTCATGGGTAAATATCATATGAATGCGGATTCTCCTAAGTAGGGTACAAGGTTTTATGATGGAGTGAGAAAACATTTCCTCTCCTAGCTACCCATCCAACTTTCCCTGTTTTATTCTTGTTCTTTAGATGGTAAAGACCAGCCTGTGGCTTTTACATACTGTGCCCAAGCGTCCACCCTGCGCCTGGAGAAGCTCTCTCTGGACATTGGCGCTGACTGGGAGGTCCACATCATGTGATGACGCCATCAGAGAGCTGCCTGCACTTTCCCACCCCTCCCTTGGCCTTTTTTGAGATTCGTGCTGCAACCTAATCTAAACCCTGGCTCAAGATCATCTTTTGCTGAGTCACCACTACACTAATGCATGATAGAGTCCAGATTTTGAGATTTCAGAATTTACATCCTTAAGATGTACCAGCAGTATTCTCTGTGTCAGATACCACCTCTTCCCCCAAGCCCCAGGCAGCCCTGAGACATTTACTGAGTTCAGGAGTCTTCCACTGCCTCTTGGGCCCCCAGCCCTGTGGTAAGCACTGTGACCAGTGAGCAGGGCTTCCTGGTTTGTGGTGATGTGGGCCACGCCTACTCAAGTGGCCCCGTGGTCAGGCTTGCCTCGGGCCTTGCGGCTGAGGTGCTTAAGGGTGCTCTCCAAGAGGACGGCGGGCTCTGGTACCCACAGTCACCTGTCACCCCCCACATGGGGTAGGCGGAACAAGCCTCTTCTGCGCGCACCCCAGATGCTGCAGCAGCGGGGGTTCCTGTCCCCTAGGGATCCACGCAGGGGCACGAAAGACTCCCTGCTTCCCAGGCTCAGAAGTTCCAAATCAACCTTAAAATTCAAGCTTCTTTGTTTGAATTATTTTGTGACAAATGCTGTCTACAAACTAAAGAATATTTATAATATGAACAAGCTATAATTAGCAATCACAAAATCAGCCCCCACATCCCTACCACTAAACTTCAGAAATAGAGGCACTGGCCTTAGGCACAGAATGTAAGGAGATGCAAAAAAAAAAAAAATGAAACAGTCAAAATAAGAAATATGTTAATACACTATTTTTAAAAATAAAAATGAATGGGGCCGGCGCTGTGGTGCAGCGGGTTAACGCCCTGGCCTGAAGTGCCAGAATCCCATACAGATGCCAATTCCAAGTCGTGGCTGCTCCACCTCCAATCCAGCTCACTGCTAACGCACCTGGGAAAGCAGCAGAAGATGGCCCAAGTGTTTGGACCCCTGCACCCACATGGGAGACCAGGAAGAAACTCCTGGCTCCTGGCTTCAGCCTGAACCAGCCCTGGCCATTGTGACCATTTGGGAACTGAACCAGTAAATGAAGGATCTCTCTCTCTCTGTATCTCTCCTCTCTCTCTGACTCTGACTTTCAAATAAATAAATCTTTTAAAGAAAATTAATATGAAATAACCCATGATGAACAAAATATCAAAACTTTAAATAAAGTGAGGCTCAATATTATGGAGTTTTCCTTCTTGGCCCAAGTCCTTCTCCTGGGAGACCAGGAGAAGCACCTGGCTCCTGGCTTTGGATCAGCGCGGTGCGCCGGCCGCAGCGCACTGGCCACGGCGGCCATTGGAGGGTGAACCAACGGCAAAGGAAGACCTTTCTCTCTGTCTCTCTCTCTCACTGTCCACTCTGCCTGTCAAAAAAAAAAAAAGTTTTCCTCTTGCTACTGTGGCTCGGCATGGAACAGAACATTACAGGATGCATCATGGTTCTCTCAGCTCTGGAGACCTCGTGGCTCCCTGCTGCCAGCGTCTGCTGGGGCTGCCTCCACTCCTCGGCACCCCTCAGCGTGCACACCACCTTCTCAGGCTTCCCACACCAGCAGCCTGCCAACTGCCGCCTGTCTGCCTCTGCTCCCTCCACGTGTGCAATCTTACCCTCTTCCTGGCCTTCCGGGAAGCCTTCCTAACTACCCTAACGCGCCTGTTCGGCCCGTACCCATCAGCATGGTTTGCCTTCTCTAAAATGCTGCCCGGCTTGCAGCTGTGCTCCGGGTACCATTCTCAGGTGTTGTACCTGAATATTTCAAAGTACATTTGTTCCCCTGCTTCCCCTCCTAGGCTGTATGTTTTCTAAAAGCATATTGTGTTTCTCATGTCTGCCAGAGCACCATGATACTTGACTATCAGTGACTGCCAGCTGTGATTGGTTAACTGGTGCAGCTGGTTGATTTAAAAGTGACACTTGAGTGTATTTTTTAATTAGTATTATTTATTCATTTGCTTTCATTTTATTTGCATGGCCGAGAGACAGAGATCTTGCATCTTCTGATTCACTCACTCCCCAAATGACCACAACAGCCAGGGGTGGGCCAGGCTGAAGCCAGGAGCCTGGAACTCAATGTGGGTCTCCCACATGGGTGCCGGGGACCCAGGTACCGGAGCCAGGAACTGCTGCCTCCCAGGCTGTGCATCAGCAGGAAGCTGGCTCAGGAAGCAAAGCCAGGGCTCAGACCAAGGACTCCAGTGTGGATGCAGCTAGATGTCACAAGCACTGGCCTCACTGCTGTGCCCTGAGCGTATTTGTGTCTGACTTGCTTCTCTGACACAGAACTCTTTCCCAATGCACTGAACGTTGTGTGTTTCCTGCTGGACGTGTTTCCTTGCGTCAGTTCAGATGTGAGCCTTGTGCCATATAAATGGCTCACCTGGATCTCTGCAGATTCTTCCCTCATTTCTGTGAGTTTTACAGTTGAGAAGAAAGGAAGAACCCTACATCAGCTGAAGCCACAGTTCCAAGCTTCAAATTTCTCTTGCTAGCCTAAGATCCAGCCTAAAAACTGGTGTACTCTTCCCTAATGTAAGTGATTGTTTTTAATCTATTTTAATTTAATAGGTTTAATAGATCCTGGTTTCAACCTGGCCCACCCCCAACTGTTACAGCCATTTGGGGAGTGAAGCAGCAGATGAACGATGCCTGTATTTGTGTCTCTATCTCCCTGTCTCCCTGTGTCACTTTGCCTTTCAAATAAATCTTTTTTCAAAAATCTATACATAGCAACATAGAAATAGCAACATAGAAACTTTTTTGGTAAAATATTTCTGAAGTGGTTTCGTCTGAAGTAAAAGTCACAGTAAAGCAAACCCATTTGAGGGACATCCCACACTCTTCACAGCCTGACGGCCATGAAGAACAGTCCTGAGGAGCAGCTCCAGACTGAGGAGATGGAAGACATGACAACCGGTGTGGTCCTGGGCTGGACTCGGCCAATACAGAACACTGTTGGGGCAGTTGTCAACATCTGAGTGGGATATTTTCTATGATCAGACAGAAGAATTTTCTGGGGTTTAGGAAAATAATTCTGTGGTTGGAACTATGAGCAGATAGTTTTTTCACTTTTTTAGTATCAGAGTATCCAAATGACTGGCAGCAGAAACACAGAAAACACACAACTCTGCAGCTGAATGGTTTTTAGCTCCTAATTAACCACCTTACAAAAGAGCCTTCTGGGTAATGGGATTCCTGTGACAATACCAGGCATCCCCACTGCTCTCAGGATTTTTCACCTGCCAAAGACTGAATTCCAGAGGGTGCTCGCTACTGAAATTCCCTCACAGCCAGGTCGTAGGAGGCCCTGAGCATCTCCACTAGACAATGGAGGCTGTGCAGCCAGCGCTCCAGAAGAAATAAAGGAGACGTTGGCATCTGCTGTCAGATCTGCCTGTCTCGCGACCAGCCCTGCCAAGGGAAGTGGTGCCACAGCAAGCCCCCCCTCCCCGGGGTTAGACAGTTGTTTTTGACAGCTGTTCCCACAGGGCTGGTGGTGTGAGAGTCCTCCCCAGTCACAGCCAGGGGAAGGGGAGCCCTATTTATATGCAGGGATGCCGAGTCCACATTAATGGCATCTTGGTCTTGTAGTTACTCGTTTACTGGAAATCAGGAAACCTGTGCTCTGGTTTGATGCCACAAAGACTTAGCTGAGTGATGTTAGCTGTGCCAGTTAACCTCTCTGGGCCTTGGTTTCCTTATCTGTTTGAGAAAGAGAGGGAGAGATTGATTTTAAAATACTGAGTTTTCCATGAACTCATTGTAAAAAACAGCAGAAATCTTATTTCCTTGATTGTAAAATGAGAGTAATCAAACCCACAGGTTGTTGTAGAGACTTAAAATAGTCTGTGTGTGGAAAGTGGAAAACAGCTGTACTGTAGAGAAGGCTGGTAGACACCATCTTTCTCAAGACTGACCTGGGGCCGGCACTGTGGCACAGCAGGTTAAGCTACCACCTGCAGCACCGGCATCCTATATTGGCGCAGGTTCAAGTCCCAGCTACTCCACTTCTAATACATCTCCCTGCTGATACACTTGAGAAGGTGGCAGAGCCTGGCTCAGGTGCTTGGGCCCCTGCACCCACATGGAAGACCCCAGTGAAGCTCCTGGCTCATGTCTTAGGTCTGGCCCAGCCCTGGCCATTGCAGCCATTTAAGGAGTGAACCAGTACAGGAAGACTTCTCTTTCTCTCTCTCTGCCTCTCTGTCTCTCTCACTCTTTCAAATAAATAAATAAATCTAAAAAAAAAGACATCACCTGTAATAAAACATAGCATTATCAATCCCCAAATATGCTTAGAGGATGAGGGTGCGTCACTTCTGTAATATTCTTCCCCCAACTCTATAACCTCAGTCTAATCACAGGAAAACTATCAAACACAAGTTGAGGGACATTCTACAATATGCCTGGCAAGTACTCTTGAGAAGTGTCAAGGTCATGAGAGACAAAGACTGTGGAGGCACTGGCATGTGGTGTACTGGGTTAAGCCACTGCTTGCAGTGCCACATCCCCCGTGGGAGCAACTGTTCAAGTCCTGGCTGCTGCTCTGATCCAGCTCCCTGATGATGCAGAGGGGAAAAGCAGAGAAGATGGGCCAAGTGCTTAGGCCCCTGCCACCCAGGTGGGAGGCCCAGTTGGAGCTCCTGGCTCCTGGCAGGAGCCTGGCCCAGTCTCAACCATTGTGGCCATTTAGGGAATGAACCGGTGGATGGAAGGTCTCTCTCCATCTCTCCCTCTCTTTCTCTGTAACTGACTCTCCAATAAATAAAATAAATATTTTTAAAAATGAAGTGTTTTGAAGCACTCTAAGTGCCAGGCTCATAGTAAGCACTTTAAAAATGGCAGTTATTGGGGCCGGCAATCTGGTGCAGTAGGTTAATTCTCTGCCTGTGGCGCTTGGCACCCCATATGGGCACCAGTTCTAGTCCCAGCTGCTCCTCTTCAGATCCAGCTCTCTGCTATGGCCTGGGAAAGCAGACCTATGTGGGAGACCCAGAAGAAGCTCCTGGCTCCTGGATTCTGGTTGGTGCATCTCCGGCCATTGTGGTCAATTGGAGAGTGAACCAGCGGATGGAAGACCTCTCTCTTTCTCTCTCTGCCTCTCCTTCTCTCTGTGTGTAACTCTGACTTTCAAATAAATAAATCTTTCAAAAAAAGTGAATAAAATGAGTTCTCTATCCTGGAAGACATTTCTGGGTACTGAAACATGCCACTGTTGATGTGCTCCTTAACTGCCCTTTATCTGTGGCCCAGACTGCATTGCTCCCGCACAGCCCAAGTTTCCCAGCTGAGTAAATCTTGAGTCTGGATCTCCCAAACTGAGAAGATTTTTTAACCCCCACAATTGATAGGGCAAAATGAACAGCACCTTGCCCTCTGTGTGTCTGAAGTTCCACTCGGCTCTGACGAGAGCCCCCTCCCATTGAACACTCTCAGTTACTAACAGGTGCAGCTGGCTGACACAGCCCGGGAGGGAACGTTCAGCAGGTACATGGCCTGGAGAGTGCCTCGCCAGCGCAAACCAGCCCAGAAACTGGCTGCATCGGTAAGTGTGGGAGATCTCACCCAGAGTAATTTCGTTCTGCAGATAAAGGAGCATAGCACGCATTTATTAAAGGCCTTCTCTGTGATTAACCCTGAGGGTGTGTGGGACCCGGTCTTACCTCCACGGGCTTGTTGGCAAACAGCAAGTTCAACAGGTGGAGATAATAAAACAGGAGCGGTGCTGTGAATCTCAGGGTGGTGTGGAGCACCAGGCTGAGACACAAACTTACAGCTTCCGGGGGAGGAAACCCTTGCCTCCGCTGTCTGTGCCTCTGGCGAGCGTGAGCTGGGTGTCAGTCTTTTCAGAAGCTCTTTCAGGGCAGGTGGATGGGCCAGCGTCTCACCACGTGAGCCTGGGCCGACTGCACTGACCCCTGTAATGTCCACCCAGGTGATGTTGAGCAGGTGCTCATACAGTGACTGTATCATTCCACCTGACCTAACCCAAAGGAACGTTGAATTCAGGTCTTCTCTAATACACCACTTGTTGAGTGCGTAGGCCAACCCTGGCACTGTTTTGAATGCATTACCGGCCGGCGCCGCAGCTCACTAGGCTAATCCTCCGCCTGCGACGCTGGCACACCGGGTTCTAGTCCCGGTCGGGGCACCGGATTCTGTCCTGGTTGCTCCCCTTCCAGTCCAGCTCTCTGCTGTGGCCAGGGAGTGCAGTGGAGGATGGCCCAAGTGCTTGGACCCTGCACCCCATGGGAGACCAGGAGAAGCACCTGGCACCTGGCTTTGGATCAGCGCGGTGCGCCGGCCGCAGCGGCCATTGGAGGGTGAACCAACGGCAAAGGAAAACCTTTCTCTCTGTCTCTCTCTCTCTCACTGTCCACTCTGCCTGTCCAAAATAAAATAAATAAAAAAAATGAATGCATTACCTAACTTGTTCGGTGTCTACAATAACCGAGTAACACAACAGCTATCCTTGTACCTGCTTTATAGTTGAGGAAACTGACACATGGGAAGAAAGGAAAAGGTAACTCACTTGAAGTTACAACCACTGAGTGACCAAGCCAGACTCTGAACCCAGCCAGCCCGCAGACTCTGCTCACCTCTCCTCCGCCTCTCTGGGAGTAGCCAAGACCCCTGGGCATTCTGGAGGAACAGAGCATGGGCTGATGGTCCTACCCGCGCAGACATAGGCTTCCTCAGAGTTGTGGCCCCAGGGATCCCGAGCCTGGTAGTACTCCCTCTTTCAGCTGTCACTCTCCACCTTCTCCCAGAGCAGCTAACCTTGGATGGGGGGCTGCCCACGTGGGAACAGGCCTGGCTGCAGTCTGGGACAAACCTCTGCTCCCCTAGACTTGGAACGTGGCCGAGAAGACAAGGTGGAGGCCAGGCAGCCGATTCCCTTCCCTGGAGCCACTCTCAGCTAAGAGCCCTGAAGCCTTAGGAATGGCATCCCAGGACTTGCCGGTCAACCTGGTTCCAGTGTCCAGTTCCCTCTGTCTCGGGTGCTAATGTGGCCAGGCAGAATAGTCAACATCTAATCTCTGCTCAGGTGTGCTTTTTATAGCAGGTTTTGTCCCACAGTTTATTTGAGGGCAGGGGGAGAGACAGGAGGTGGCTCGCTCAAGTGGGTGAGACAGGGATTTCCTCAACTGAGGTCTCTGCTGAGTGGCATTTTCTGTCCAAACTGTTCCACTGAATGCTGACACCAGAACATTCTAGAAGAGATTCCGAATTCAGTATTGAATGATGTTCTGATATCTTAGAGTTTTAGAAAGCAAAAATCACGTTATCTATAACACAGAGAATATTCCCCTGGAATTCAGTAACTCACATGCACCTTAGCTAGTTTCTTCCCCACATTGTTTTCCATTGATTTTGTGGCCAGCGTCGGTAGTCTGTGTAACAGGCTATTCAGGGATGCATGTGGATGTCCACCTTCCTCAGACGTCCCCTCTAACCCCCACGTACACCAGGACTCACTGACCACACAGAAATGTCCCATGCAGTCTAGCTTCATGCTAGCCTCTCTTTCGTTCCCATACGCACGATCTTTCTTCATGTCTATTTTTAGTGTCCCTGGCTCGAGCTTCCTCAGGCCACTGAAACACAACCCTCACTCTCGGTCTCCCTCCCTCTGGCAGGCATGCCGCTGGTCGGAGCCCCCCAGGGAGAATCTGCTTCAGAAACCCTGTAGTACTCCTTCCTCGGGACAACGGACGGCTCC